CACGCGTCTACGCCACGACCTCGCACGGTTACAGTTGAAGCATCGCGACCGCTGCACATTCACATTGAGGTGGTCAAGCCAGGCGACTGCGTTGGGAGCAGCGGCGTGGTAAACCATCGGTGGGAGGCTCATCCTTCGTACCTGTGAGTCGCGAAGAGAGTCGTCATGTTCCACGGCAACAAGTCTCCGGACACTCACCGGATGGATTCGTGTTTTGTTTCCCGCGTGTGCGTAACCATCATCATCATCAGCAGCAGCACGTGGTGGCAATGGAACAATGGATGGTCACGTGTCGCGTGTGGATTGATTGGCGCCGATGAGATGATGATGGGGGGGGGGGGGGTAGCACGTGGCGATATTAGATAACTAATATGCTGATGATGATTTACGGCGTACGATGACGGTAGCTCATGCAGCAATAGAAGATGATGTCGACGATCATGCAGAGCGTGTTACAATTACTTTTGTGGAAATCGTTTTTTTTACGAAGATGTCGGAAGAGGGTATACTGTTAATAGCTCATGCAAAAATCTCAAGATGATAATCGAGTAGATATGGTACTTAGTAACGTCAATCCACTGTTGCATGGATAATCGAGACTTAACTGTATCATCATCAGCCATGGTAAATCTACAACTGCATGGATATCCAGACTTAACTCTGTATGAAGAGATTACCCCCAGATACCGACACGAACACGCCATCTGAGACGTCACGCTCGCTCGGGTAGAGTGAGTTCACGTGAATGCCAACGTTCAGTTTCAGTTTCATGTATTAGGTATAACCTTGTGGGCCATGCGGCTCTTGACTCGGGTGCCACCACAACAAAACAAAAACATGAACAAGAAACATCTTAAAATGACTACACGCAACAGAAAAATCCTGGAAAAAACAGCAAAGTCTTCCAGAAAAAACACCGTATTTCAACGCTGAGTGCAAAAATCCCAGTGGGATGCAAGTCAAACAATAACAACTATAAGACAATTTAGATTAAAGTTATCAGGCTAACTCTGTACTACAACAAACACACATGGCTAAACCAATACGTTTTCAAAATCACTCAAATAAAGCTATAAAAACAATGTAACAGTGATCATAGGAACTGTGATTCAAATTTAACAATAAACGATCTACATAACATGTGCGAACAAAACACGTCCAAGCTCGCTTCGTGTAACCAGGTGGCGAGAACTCGAAAGAGACCAGGGAGGAGAGAAGTCGCATTTGCAAGGTGACCTGCGCCTTGAGTCTGCAGCCGGTAGAGGGCGCTGATTGCGACTACGCTGCGTGTGGCATCCCGAATGGAGTCGTTTTCGATGTCATTTTCTCACGTGGAAAATGTTGACCGTGACACCGACACGCAATGAGGTGCTCTTGCGAATGACGCCACGGGGGAGGGGGGGGGGCTGTGACGTGCACGGTGAGTGAAGCAGACGGCGTGGAGCAGTAGAATCGGTGCGCTACTGCACCCGCAGTGATAACCAGGGCGGCCACTGGGACATCGATCCGCGGCGAGATTCCTGCCACGCGCGAGACGAGAGGCGGCGCCAGCTGCCCACCTCGCCGTGCAACCATCGTGGAGGATGTTACAAAAGGCATCAAAAAGGTAAACGGATCATTCATCGCCTTCCCATAAAATCATATATGTGTCTCCAAGTCACGTGCCGTATTTCGCACCCATCCCATCAGCCGCACGCCCTCCTGGGAGCGCGCGGTGTCGGCAGAATTGACTCGGCACAAGCAAAACTCTCGACCGGTTTCGCCACTCAGTGTCTCAGCAGCAGAGTTCCAGGCTCTGCTTGAATCAATGCTGGCGAGCTGCCAGATGGCTATCGGCAAGGCCCTGCGCGACACGGGTGCTGCGCTTCGACGCTCCCTGCCTTCACCACCAACCCGCACACCGCCCAGCGTGGTGAAGTATGGTCAAATAACCCCCCGCGACGCGCACGTCATGGGGAGGGACCTCGTCCAGCAGTGGATTGACCAAGGGCCGTAGATGACGACACATGTGACAGCAGCAGCAGCACGATTGCAGCAGAGAACCGCGTGTTGTTGTTGTGTTGTTGTTTGTTGTTGTTGTTGTCCTTCCCCCGCACCTTCGAGTAGCACGGTTGACTACATACGGCACGAAAGAGGTTCTGCATATTCCACATACACACAGAGATGGCGAGAGAGACGAGTTTACAAATCGTGTATGATCTCCGTGCTGGTAATATACAAATTACCTGGGAGGATAAAACACTGTTTAGTTTTACTTGTATATGCATATTTAAGTGCTTTGTTTACCTCTCATATTCTTGCACTCCTGTTGTGTTTTGGTATTGTTTGTTGCTGTAACTTTCTGTCTCGTCTGTGAAAAACAAATATTTACAGCTCATGGGATTCCTCGTGCGGTATCAATCTTCTGCTCTGCGAGCCGCCAGGCCCTGACGGCACCGCGCGCTCCGAGTCGCCGCTAGGGGGCGGTGACGCTCCTCGGTGCGATGGCTGAGAGCCCAGGGCATTCCATTCTGTTTACAATAAAAAAAAATAACAACAACAATTATTATTAATTGATTATCCAGGAGAGCCACGCTTGAGGCGTAAGACTCTTTTCCAAAAGGGTTATGCTGCTGCTACATTGGGTTTGTATTTGAAAATTACTTTTTAAAGCCAACTAATGATGAGACGTGTCTATTATCAATATATACGTGGGGAGCAAACCGGAGCACCGGGAGAAAATCCAAGCATTGTGCGAGGGGGCAATACTGTATCCCCGTAAAAATAGAAACAGATGGCGATTTGTCCACTTTCTGTACTTGTGCGTGTGAAGGTCGATGATTTGTGCCACACACAAACGGGTTGTGTGGATGTTCTCCGGGTCCTCCGGCATTTCCCTCGACATTTAGAAACACGCGTTTCGAGTGTTTGGCTGCTAATACATTTCCTCATTATAATCCACTTCGCTGAGCTATCATGTATAGCCAGGTCGCTTCTTAAAACAGCTCCATGGCTCTGCGAGCCTTACCTGGTGAAATATTTGTTTTTAAGTGTTTAGTTTACTTAAGAGTCTCCAGCACGGCGCCAGCGGTTGATCTGCGTCGCTTTCACTGCACGGAGCCCACGGCTCTGCGGCCCCCCCCCCCCGCGACCCCTGGAGGCCAAGGCGCTCGCACTCGATAGAAACTTCAAGTCTCGACTGAAGACCCCACCGCCTGTGTGGGGAGACCCTCTCCTCTCTTCTCTCTTCTCTCGCTCTCTTGCTGCTCTCATGAGTCTCGCTCTCTCCCCGGTTACTTCTCACCCATTCCTTCCTGTTTTACACGCACGCCACTCTGACTGACATCCGTTTATTATGGGCGCCTTACAAATCGAATTTATTATGATTATCAGTTTAATTAAAATCATCCCGGAACTGCGTGCGATCTCGACAGCTAAGCAGGTGTGAGCCCGGGCAAGGCTCGGATGTGCGGCGATCACCGCCGTGCATAACAGGTGCTATAGGCTGCTGCAGGGACCGCGTGACGGTCGGCAAAGGGCAGTGCTGCGAATTCCATCGCTGAACTGAACTCATACGGCCATCGCCAGCCCATCTCCGCGAGAGGCCGCACCGGCGAGCGGAATGACTGCCGCATGGCCGAGTAACCCAGCGCGATGACTCGCACGGCGCGGGGCAAGCAAGTGGCCTGGCACAGAGCGAGAGGACTGCCCCAGCACGCGAGTGCAGTGTGGGGCCGTCCATAAATGACGTCACGCGATTTTGGACGATTTTTGACCCCCCCCCCCTCGTCACACGACGTCACAAAGTCAGACCCCCCCCCCTCAAATATGACGTCACGAAGCTCTGCCACCCCCCCCCCCCTTAAATAAAATAAAACATGCTTTAAATCGCTTTAAACTATTGTCATTGTAGTGCGTATTTAATGTGGCGCTGCACTCTGATGTTGTAGGAGAAAACATTTATTAAAAAGTCTATTTAATTAAGTAGAACGTGTTGCCTATATTTATTTAAAGTTGCGCATTTTGATGTAACGTCACATTTCACAACCCTCCCCCTCGTCACACATCGTCACAAATGTCTGACCCCCCCTCCCTAGGTGCGTGACGTCATTTATGGACGGCCCCTGTGTGTGCCCGTGCGGAATGTCTGACCCTTGCTCTGCGTCTCTGCCTCGCTGCAGCTCGTGGGCTTCGTGGGGGATGGTGGGGGGTGGAGGGAGGGGGTAGTGGGGGATGGTGGGGGGTGGAGGGAGGGGGTGGTGGGGGGTGGTGGGAGGGGGTGGTGGGGGGATGGAGGGAGGGAGTGGTGAGTCATGGCGGTGGGGGGAGAGTGAGTCATGGGGGTGGAGTGGTGGAGCGGGGGGGGGAGAGACACGTGACTGGACCGGTCTTAACTTCGGGTGACTTCACTCAGAGCAGGTGTGCTGCGGCGCTCTGCCCCAGTACAGGTGTGAGTGAGTTCGACACAGGTGTGAGGGTAGAAGTACAGGTGCGAGGGTAGAAGTACAGGTGCGAGGGTAGTGTCGGTGTAAAGCTTAGGACAGGTGTGTGTCTGTGTGTCCCGCGGTGTCGTTTGAACGGCTCTTGTGGTTTCCGACAGTTCACGCGTAGAGTTGAGCCAGGCCATCGTAGCCCTGTCGGGTGAAGCTGATTGGAGGCGATGCCGAGTTGGCTGTAAGAGGCCAGCGCTGTTCGACCTCGCTCGTCGCTCTTTGCTCGGCCAGGCAGTGACGGCGGCTCTCGCGCTCACGGCGGGACATGGGGAACTCCATCGCGCAGTGGCAGGACCCGCGACTCGTGGCGGACTTCCAACGCTTCTGCGGGCTGGAGGCGACCTGGGAATCATCTCCCAAGAACAACGGCACCCTGCATCATCACGGGATCACCAGTCATGGGACGCAGAATCATGGGATCGTCAATAATGGAATCGCCAATAATGGGATCTCGGATCATGGAATACAGAATAATGATAATGGAATCACGGATCATGCGATTACGAATCACGAGACGCAGAATAATGGAATCGCCCTTAATGGAATCACGAATCATGGCACACAGAGTAATGGGACTCAGAATAATGGGATCCAGAGTAATGGGGTCACCGCTCATGGAATCAACAATCATGGGATCGCAAATCACGCGGACGCGGGTCCTCGGCTGCGTTCCGGGCACCGAGGAAGGCGGCGACGGCGCGCGGTTGCAGAACGGGAGCGGCGAGCACAAGCCTGGGGTGGTGAGTAGGCGAGGTGTGTGTGTGTAGGCGAGGAGTGTGCACGGCTCCAGGCTCCAGGCGCAGCCCTGCAGCTGCCCGCTCACGCCATTGCCGGTGGAAGGGCCGATGCTCAAGGGAGCTCGAGAGAGAGTGGGGTGGTGGGGGAGGGTATTTGGCCTGCTCTTCCACGTTGACCAGACGTCTTGGAAGAGGTGGGAGTAACCCACACTTTACCACGCCGCAAGCGAGCGATCGGCTGGCTGTGGTTTGTGAAGCCACGAACTCTGCTGCTGCTGCTGGGTGGACAGAGGTGGCGGTGGGGAGGGGATAAGAAGTTCGCTCCCGTCGTTTCTTCTGCCGCGTCGGGAGGTTGAATCGAACCGGTGCCCTCTGCGTGGCGAGTGCAGCGTGCGGACCATCACACCGAGGCAGCAATGATGACTATTGATATGAATGTTTTAATTGTTTTCACTATTACAGTGTGTTGCGAATTACGATACTAAATTATGACGAATCAAAGGGCCATTGGTGGAAATGTCCCGTTCACACGACGGGACCCAGTACATCCCAAGAACGACTACTTCACGAATATTGATTCGTGTGCTGTGAAGAAGGCCCATTGCCCGAAACGTCGGCTATTATCATTCTTAATTTGAGGCCACGGTGTTATTGGACACGGAACCGTGTTGTCGTTGACCGCGCTTGTGCACCACCGCCTGTTGTGTGGAGAGAGGAGGGGAGATAGACATGTCTGTGGATGTGAGGTGGTGACGGGTGAGGAGCTAGGAGGTTGAGAGGAGAAGGCGGTGGGGGGGGGGGTGTCTAAGCCACCGCGCCTCACGTGGAGCGTCTCAGCCGCGCTCACGCCTCATTTCACTCACAGCCAGCGTCCCAGAATCCACTTCTCATTTTACAGCGCAGCTCAAAGACTCACGGTTCGCACAGAAACGCTTCTCTTAATGGCATATAATGTATGCGGCGATGGGATGTTTTATCTAATTACAATATTGCTCATCGAACGAGTTATGCTAATTAAACACACATTTAACAGCAGCAGCAACAACACGTGCAGTAGCTCATGGGCACATTGGGAAATCACGCGGCGCCGCGTGACGTGCGGAGAGATGCAGAGGAGGACACGGGAGAGCGCGAGCGTGAAGGAAGAGAAAGCGACTCTCCCACTCACTTGCTTCTCAATTACCCCCCCGCCGCCCACTCACCCACTTACCCACTCACTCACATACCCACTCACCCACTTACCCACTCACATACCCACTCACTCACGAACCCACTCACCCACTTACTCACTCACCCACTTACCCACTCACGAACCCACTCACCCACTTACCCACTCACCCACTTACCCACTCACTCACTTACCCACTCACTCACATACCCACTCGCATACCCACTCACTCACGAACCCACTCACCCACTTATCTACTTATTTACCTTCCCACTCACTCACCCTCTCGCTCACGAACCCACTCGCTCACCTGCCCACTCACTAACCCTCCCGCTTACCCATACACTCACCCCCTAATTTACTCACTAACTTTAAAACTAATTTACCCATTCACACACACACACACTTAGTCGCCCACTTATCCTGTCACTTACCCGTCCATTCACGAACGAACCCACTCAATTACCCACTCATTTAGTCACTCACGTTTTCAATCATTTACCCACTCACCCTGTCACTCACTTGCCCACTCACTCACTTGTCCACTCACTCACTTACCCACTGATTAATTTTCCCACGTCATTTACCAGCTCGTTCGCTCACACAAAGGAAGCACAATGCAGGGTGTGTAAAGGCGCGGGGTTGATAAAGCCGGGAGAGGATAAAGGAGACATTTAAATGCAGAGGGAGAAGGTGGGGTGGGGGTGCAGGCGGAGTGGCCCAGGAAGGGAGCTCTAGTGCTGAGATTATTCAGTGTGTTGTTATTAGCTGTTGTTGTTGTTTGCCTCTCAGCCCTCAAAACCTGAAGCATCTGATGAGGCCATGAAGGTATAAACCGGTCCTAGCCTTTGCCTCCTTAGACAAACACAGTACAGTGCTGCTGGATGGATGAAGACATTGCTCGGAAGGTCGTGGAACGCTTGCCAACACGAGCCTGTCCTGGCACGCGTTGGCGCATTTGCCAAGTACTTTATTCCTTTTAGCTCTGGATCTAGTCCCACGCATCTCGGGTATTGATTTGATCAATGTGGCCGGGTTTCTCCAAGTCGAGTTCCCAATAACAATGCCACTTTCCTGCAAAGTTTCGCTCGCATTGGACCAACTTGACGCCAGTGATGGTGACCCCACGATACGGGCGGACGGCGCTAGTGCACACACACGCGCACGCACGCGCGCACACACGCACACGCGCACGCACACACGCACGCACGCACACACGCGCACACACGCGCACGCACGCACGCACGCACACACGCGCGCACACACGCGCGCACACACGCACGCACACACGCGCACACACGCGCACGCACGCGCACGCACGCACACACGCACACACGCACGCACACACGTGCGCACACACGCACGCACACACGCGCACACACGCGCACGCACGCACACACACACGCGCACACACGCTTCCAAGCCTCGCCGGGGACAGCGTCCAAAACATTCTCTCTCTTTTCTCTCCGCGGTTTGAAGGAAGCAGCTAAACGTGTTTACTTAACCGGGTCTCAATATCCCAGTCGCCGTGGTTGCGCGGTGGCTGTGAGCGGCGGTTGGGCGCCGTGAGCGTTGCGGGGCTCCCTCGGGGCTCCCTCGAGGCTCCCTCGGGGCTCCCTCGGGGCTCCCTCGGGGCTCCCTCGGGACTCCCTCGGGACTCCCTCGGGGCCGAGAGGAGAAGCCGCGTCCACTGACGCCGAGCGCACCGCTCACCACCCCCCCCCCCCGGCTACGAGTCGCTCCATCTCCACGGCGGAACGACACGGACCCCCAAACAGCCAACTCCAGAGCTGTCAACCCCTTCTCGGTGCCCTACATTGTTGCAGACCATTTCAGGACATTATTAGTCACCCAGTGCCCTTTCAATCTCAACGTTCATCCTACAAAGTCCCATCGCAAAGTACAAACACAAACAAATAGCCAACAAAAACATGTTGCCGTATTGACACGGCTGCACGCCGTATGGACCTGGAAACGCAGTTTCCCTGTATAAGAATAGGGGGTAAACCGTGTGGGTTGACTGCTATGCAACTATGTTGCCCGACCCCCCACGTAGTTCCGTCTCCACAAACAGACACACAGACACACACTGTCACACACACAGACATACACACAGACACTGTCACACACACAGACATAGTCACACACATAGACATACAAAGATCCCCCGTATAGCCTTAACAGACTGTAGGGGCAAGTGCTATTAGCGAGCACCTATGAAGGCCAGAACGGTACACGAGGGGGTTGGGTGGCGAGCACCACTCCCGACCGCCTTTGTCTCCGCAGTGGTGATGTTTACACACCGCACCAGGTACTCATTTAAGGCTGAGTCGACCTAGGGGAGGCCCAGGACCGGTTCAGACAATCGTCACTGGTGTTGGCCGTGAGCGGGAATCGAACCCGGATCGCCAGGTTCATAGCGCAGCGTAGCGCTAACCGCTACACTACCGCTCCCCAACATACACACACACACAGACATAGTCACACACACAGACATACAACAACAACCGCCATTCGCCACTAAGTGGCGGTGACGTCACCACGATGCTTGTGCCAGGCCAAGTGCACCTTGAGGCCACGTGAAGTGTCGAAAGCCCGCTGGCAGGAGGTCACGGGGCAGACCCAGGTGCCACTGGTCGACTGACCGAGATGACCGAGATGACTGGCTGATGCACCACCTGTGCCCCCTACTGTGCCAACTTGCTGTGCTTTAGCCACCCGGCGCTCCGCTCGTTGTTGTGAGCGTCGCTCCTCCGCCCTCCGTTGTTGTTGGAGGGCGACTGCCTCCAACTGCCCAGTAGCATCCTTCACGAGCCTCCTCCACTGAGGCCAATCTTGACACCGCTGGTACCAGTCATCGGCAAGTCCACTCAGCTCCACGTCCTCCTGTACCACATCACTCCATCTCTTCTCCAGCCCGTGCCGCGCCCGTCTAGCCCCCTCGATCCGGCCGAACAAAAGCTGTTTAGGCATGCGGTGGCTGGGCATGCGGGCTACATGACCCAGCCAACGCAGCCTTGCCTGCCGGAGGAGCTCACTGATGGGACTTTGCCCAGATCTTTCAAGGATTTGTGAGCTCCTCACACAATCCAGCCTGGTTAAACCCAGGATGGATCGTAGGCAGGCCAGCCTAAATGTTTCCAACCGGCGAAGATGCTCCACCAGGGGGGTCCACGTCTCGCAAGCGTAGAGAAGGGAGGGAATGACCGTGGCCGAGAAGACCTGAAGCTTCGTGCGGAGCGACAGACCAGGTAGCTTCCACACAGCGTTACGCAACCGATGAAAAGATATTGCCGCTCGACTGATTCGGAGTGAGACCTCTGCTGATAGACTGGAGCCGGTCATAAGCACACTGCCCAGGTATGGGAAACTCTCCACTCTCTCCACAACTGCCCCATCACCAATTGGGAGTTGTGGGGGTGGAGTGTCCGATGGTACAAAATACCCAGGCAGGTGCTTGGTTTTGGTGGGGCTGATGGTAAGGCCCCACCTCTTAGTGGCACGCTCCAGTCTCAGCAGCAGCGCCTCCAACTCCTCTTCTGAATGAGCAGCTATTACCAAATCATCGGCATACATAACGTGGTTGACCAATAGGGAGCCATCCCTTGATCGCACCCGGGCGTCGATCAGCCTCCCATTATATCTGTACCAAACGGAAATTCCCCCGGTACAGCTATTGAAGGCTTCACGAACTACGCGGTCAAAATAGATGTTAAATAATGTGGGAGCCAGAGGACATCCCTGTCGCACCCCAAGGTGTACAGGGAAAGGCTCCGACTCCCGGCCACGTAGTTTTACCCGGGCCCGCTCACCATCATGAAGGTCCTTAATGATCGTGAGCAGAGGGTCAGGGACTCCGAAAGCACGAAGAACAACCCAGAGTCCAGTCCTACTGATGGTATCATAGGCCTTGACCAGGTCAATAAAGCAGAGATGTAGGTCTTTTTGGAATTCCCTACACCTCTGCTGTAGCAGACGGACAGAAAATATGGCATCTGTGCAGGACCGCCCTTTCCTGAAACCGCATTGGGGCTCCGCAAGCCCCTCCTCAGCGTGCCTAGCAAGGCGATGTTGAATAATCCTTGCCAGGACCTTACCCGGCACACTGAGGAGTGAGATGCCCCTGTAGTTGTTACAGTCTGTGCGGTCCCCCTTCTTAAAGAGGGGGACCACCAGGGCATCCTTCCAGTCCTGCGGAACCCGTCCAGTGGTCCAGACTGTTGTTATGATGTCATATAGGGCAGTCTGTGCACAAACGCCACCCTCCCTCAGCATTTCGCTTGGGAGATCATCTCTGCCCGGTGCCTTCCCTGGTCTCAGACTCCGGATCGCCCTCAGTACTTCCTCAACAGCTGGAACCTCAGCCAGCCACTCACAGGGGGTGACCTCTTCCAATATTTGAGGCACTGCAGCCTCAGCAGGGTTATCCCCACTTTGTGCCATGATGTTTTCCTGGCTGAGAGAATTTCCCTCCCCCAGGACCTCACAGAAATGCTCAGCAAATCTGCAAACCTGTTCCTGGGGGTCGGAGATTGGATCACCGTTTCCTGCACGCGACTACAGACTACAGACCCCCGGCCCCCGGCCCTTCTGTGGCTGTGACGCCGCCCGGCGCAGAGCCCCGTCGCTCTGCTGAGGGCGGTCGGTGTGAGGCCTCTGGCTGAGCCCCTCCGTGCTTCGTCTGCTGCGCGCTCGTCACGTTCACTGTCACTGTCGGCGTCACTCGCGGCCGCGTCTCTTCCCCCCCCCCCCCCCCCCCCCCATGGTGTGGCCAGCGAGGAGGAACTGCTGGGATTCGGGTCTCGGAGTCGTACGATTTTGTCACGCGGGGAGAATGCGATGAGCTATAAAGCTCTTTTTGACAAATGTCAAGAAGGGGCGGGTCAGAACGTTACAACAACAAGCAATGTAAAAACATACACAATAGGAGTGCAAAGCAAAAGTAAACAAATCACTTAAACAATAAACAACAAAATAATACAGCAGCACTGACGCGCACCCTGTGGGAGCGAGCAGGGTAAATCTCAGGAGGGTAAATTTCCAGTAGGGTAAATCTCAGGAGGGTAAATCTCAGGAGGGTAAATCTCAGGAGGGTAAATCTAAGGAGGGTAAATCTCAGGAGGGTAAATCACAGGAGGGTAAATCACAGTCGCAGGCAAAGTCGGCACCGTCGCAAGCGACCCCCCGCCACGGCGAGGAAAGCCGAGGAGGCTGCCCGCTGCTGTTTGCTGAGCTGTAATCCGCCGCCGTCGACACACAGCGCACACACACACACGGATACAGTCGCAGGCAAATATCCCCCCCCCCCCCCCCGTCTAGCCCGGCCACGCTTATGGGCCAAGCGCTGTGAGCGAGGAGCACCGATGAAGGCGGCACGGCACACGAGGGGGGGGGGGAGGGTGGCCAGCACCACGCCCGGCCGCCTTTGTCTCCCGAGTGGCGATGTTTTGCACATTGCAGCAGGTACTCGTTTGAGGTTGAGTCAACCTAGGGGAGGCCCAGGACCGGTTCAAATAATCGTGACTGGTGTAGACCGTGCTCGGGAATCGAAGCCGGGTCGCCAGGTTCATAGCGCAGCACGCTAACCACTACAATACCGCTACCACACACATACACACGTACACACACATGCACAAACATGCACACGTACACACATGCACACGTACACACATGCACACGCACACACATACACACATGCACACACACACATGCACACACGCACACACATGCACACATACACACATGCGTACACACGTACACACGTACACACATGCACACGTACACACACACACACGTACAAATAGCGAGACCCCGACAGCCGAGTGGGCTCTCTGGCGATACCAAGCCGTGAGCGAGCGTCGTGGTGTAAACCCAGCGCCGGTGTTTGCACAGCTCGCTGCGTTTATTCTTGCCAAGCCGAGTCCACCTCGAGCTGCGGTGGGTTTGGGGGTTGACGGGGGTCGAGCATTGCTGTGGAGAGCGACGCGGGTCCACCGCTTCGCTCTCCAGTGCAAGGCCCGCGGGCACATGACGGGCCCCTGGTGGCCTTCAGCGTGGCCCCCCACAAAACACGAATGGTGAACACACAACCCCATCGTCAGCGTCATCAGCGTCGTGGTGATGCCGTCACAAACCCCCAATGGTTTCAAATGGCGTGGCGGCCCTCGCCACACTGGTGACGTCTTAGCGGCGAAAATGGCCTTCCCCTCTAAAAATGAGTGAAGCACGCTGTTGCAGATGTTGTCGGTTTGAACTCGACGGGCCGCCCTGGTTCAATCCGCAGTGGCGCGTGTGCAGCACCAACAGTGAAATACTACCACGCGGCATCTGCTTCGCAGTGGACATTCAATATCCCGTGGCAGCACATGTCGACGGGTAGGCCATGGTGTTCCGGCTCCACGGTGACTATTTTCCAAATTCCCCGCAAATGATGACGTTGGGAAACATCGCGATCGTCACCCCTCCCCCCACTACCGCGACAACCTCGCAGGACCCTCCTGCGAGAAGAGGCCGGACTGTCGCCCGCCCCAGAGAGTAGATAAACGGGAGTACCCACCGTTTACTCCACCGCACACGCCACCCTCGCCTAAGGACTAACGGCGCACACGCGACGCGCTGCGCGAGCTGAGCAATCGACGTGAATCTGTTTTCTGTTCTCCCTTCATTTAAATCACCATTTGGGGGGGGGGGGTGAGGGCACGGGTGGGTGTCGAGGGGGGTGTCGTCTTCGTGGAAGCGCGAGGCCGGGATGCCGTCCCACCGTTGCGTCACCGTGGCCGGGGGGCCACCATCGGCCCGCTGGGTGTGCGACGCATCACGGCGGTGGGCCTCCTCCACGCTCTCCTCGTCTCGGCCCCGTGGCGGCTGTGGGACGTTTACACCGCTGCGTTCAAACTGACGATGTTGATTGTAGTCCTTCCCCCGCACCTTCGATTAGCACGGTTAGCTACGTACGGTGTGAAAGAAGTTCAACATGCGTACAGGCAGACATGGTTATTTTTGTTCTTCCCCGAAACCTGCACGAGTATTGTTGTTACAACAGATTATACCGGTGATGATGCTGCTGCTGCATTGGCAGTGGTGCATAAATAACAACAATAACACACTGAACACATTCCATGTCAACAACAACCTACTATGTGACCTTAAAATGATAACATAATAAGCAATGGTTTGTGCAACGGGCCTTCACTATGTATGCATGTATGTTGAACTTCTTTCGCACCATACATAGCCAACCGTGCCAATCAGAGGTGCGCTCTGAAGAACGGACTGTTGGCTGAAACGTCGCCCGCTATCTATATTTTGTTCCACTTGAGGAGCTGTTGACAGTCGCGACATTCTGTTATGAGGGTGGTTCCTTGGTTGTGATTCATGGGCTCGGCGCGATCGGCACCGTGGTTGAGCTGTTCGCTTTGTCGGCTCACAAATCCGTTCCCGGGTTCGCCACTCGACGAAGTCCGGAGCGGGGCGGTCGAGGCGTCTCTCCCGCCTCGATTCATGCGCCCGCCCGCTCGCAGCTCTCCCAGCACCGCAGTTGTCGGTTAACGGTGTGGGGGGGGGGGGGGTCTTTGTCGTCGCCCAGGTCCTCACCTACAAGGTGCGGAGCCGCTTCCTCTACTGGCTATTCCTGGCGGGCGCCACGCTGGGCCGCGAGGTCTTCTACATCACCTTCATGCCCTTCTGCTTCTGGAACTTCGACCCCTTCGTGGCGCGCAGACTGCTCGGCGTGTGGATGGTGGGTGTACCCCCCCCCCCTACCCCACGGCCTCTACTGCCCAGCGGATCTGAGCAGCCAGGCCCCCCTCCGCTCGTGAAGCCGACGTGGCCCCCATACCTCACCGGCCCCCGGCCATGAGAGGAGCACACAAGCACCCGTGACAAAATGTGTTTTAGTCCGTCGGCCGATTTATTGGTTTTAAAACCAAATAGGAACAACCGGCATTTGTTTCAGCAAGCAGACAAACTCTGGACCGGTTTTGAGTCTCTGGGTTGTCTCTCATCAGCCGAGTCGTGCTTGTCACCCACGCGCCGCTGGATTACCAGATGTCATTGGCGAGAGCGCTCCGTTCAAATTACGGCCCTCCCTACATTCAACGCAATTTGCGATACCGTGCCCTCAGCGGAAGCCCGCGGAGGGCATGTTGCAGAGGGGCAAGCTGGCGCAATCCGCGAACACGTGCGGTTCCAGTTAACGAGGCAGTGTCACGTTCAGAAACCAGGTCGTAAGGTCACCACGACCGCCGCCACCACCAGCAGTGGAGCGCCATAGACCGACGCGTCCGAGGGTTCACACATCGCGTCGGGTTGCTCGTGGTGGCAGCGTTCGCCTCTCGTTGCCGAGGTTCGTCGTTCAATCCACGGGGAGCACGGCCGTTGCGTTCCGGCGTCACCGTAATTTTTTTTCAAACATTACCCACGAATTACTCAATTGGGATCGCACACTGCAGTGGCAGCAGCGGCAGCAGCAGCATCACCCCCTTCCTGGTAAAGCTTGGCAGGACCCCTCCTGGCAGAGAGTCACGAGGCTCGGTGAGGCCTCCCCTCCTGGGTGAAACAACAGTGGTGGCGCCGCGAACCACCGCGTCTCCGAGAGCTTCCACTGCAGCGGCTGTGTTTCAATAAAGCAAGCGGCCTGTCAGCCTGAGCCAGCCACCGGCCAAGCTAATCTGAGCCACCCAGCACCTCGTATGTATGGTCTGAAAGAAGTTCAGCGTACATGAAACAGATGGTGGGTGGCTCTCGCTAATAGCATCTCGCAATCCAACAGCAGTTGTACAAGCCCGACTGCTGATGAGACCCAGAAGGTCTGGAGATCACTTGCCTAACAACATTCTGATGGACTAACACACACTGTGTTTTACTCAGAGGGACAAAATGGAGTTCTGCTTGGCCTGTGTCCACGGATGGATTTGGTCGTTATAAATCCAAGTTTAGAACCAGGCACTTATCGCGATGGGGCTCGGGGTGGGGGGACGCACGCCGGGTTCACGAGCGGTGGCCCGGGCGGGGCCCCATCGTGACGGAGAGCGCGGCCGCTCCGAGAGCACGGCACGTCGGGGCTCAAAGTCCGAAGGTTCGGTAGACGCGTCACGGCCGCTCGATATCGCGCGTCTCTCGCACGGTGGATGATCGGTCAATCTGTCACGGGCTGTGACCAGGTGAGCGGCGCGCTGCACGCGCCCCGTTTTACGAGAGAGAGGGGAGAGAGCGGACATAAAAAAATATGAGGAGAGTTAATGCGGTGCGAAAATTCACCGTGGCAAGGGTCGTGAGGGTGGCGAGGATGGTGCGGGAGTGTGGTGAGGATGGTGAGAGTGTGTGGTGAGGGTGGTGAGGGTGGTGGAGTGTGTGGTGAGGGAGTATGGTGAGAGTGTGTGGTGAGGGTGGTGAGGGTGGTGAGAGTATGTGGTGAGGGTGGTGAGGGAGTGTGGTGAGGGTGGTGAGAGTGTGTGGTGAGGGTGGCGAGGGTGGGGCCGGAGTGTGGTGAGGGAGTGTGGCGAGGGTGGTGAGAGTGTGTGGCGAGGGTGGTGAGGGAGTGTGACGAGAGTGGTGAGAGTGTGTGGTGAAGGTGGCGAGGGTGAGGTGGGAGTGTGGTGAGGGAGTGTGGCGAGGGTGGTGAGAGTGTGTGGCGAGGGTGGTGAGGGAGTGTGACGAGGGTGGTGAGAGTGTGTGGCGAGGGTGGTGAGAGTGTGTGGCGAGGGTTTGTTTAAGCCGAGATGTTCTGGGTTCACGCTCCCCACGCGCCGTGCGTGTCAGAGTGCAGCGTAGCACCCAAGCCGGAGCTGCCGCTTATGATCGCGTGAGAGCCCAGCACAAAAGGCACTTTCGCAAGGGGGAACTCGGGTGTTAATAAGTACTACGCAACAACAAAGACTTGGGCAGAGATCCATTAACTCATAGACACCATAAACGCACACGGAGAACCATTCATTCATAGAGAGACCTTAGACTCGCGTAGAGACCCATTAACAGGTTTTGAGTGTGCGTCTCTCTTCCCCTGGTCGCGTAGATTTTTCTCCATGTCCTACACTTTTTCCCTCCACGGTTAGAATCAACGTGCGTTTAGAGTATTTGGCTGCAATAAATGTCCACGTGACGATGATAAGCCACTTCGTTGAGCTATCATTTGTGTCCGTGTCGCTTTTTAAAAGAGCTGTATAACTCTGTGGGCCTTATCCGGTGAGATAAAATAAAAACACTGTTTCGTTTTAGTATAGAGGACCCATAACGCCTACGAAGAGAACTGAAGGTCAAACGCAAACGACCTTTATGGGCAGGTGAGATGAGAGTGAGAAGGAAGAGCTGGATCTTGCGGCGCATGCTGCCACAGACTGATAGGGGCAGGCGTAGACTGGCACGGACTTAACACGCGAGACCCACAGACCTGCGCAGTTTTTTATTTTTTGTTTTGCATAGACATCAGAACAGGTTGAGCACACGGCCCGTCAACGGGAAGTTTAAATCAGACAGTTAAATGTCATACACTTAGCCGAGACCGAGTTTACGATGTGGGGGTGAGGCCGTGCACGGATTCTGTCCCGCAAAGTACTACAGAGGCGTGGCTCGCCTCGACAGACGCCCTCCGTTCGTCCACGATCAGCCGCGATAATCGTTTGTGTCGCTTCACGTGAGAGGGCCTGAGAAAGCAGCCCACACTTTACCCCACCACACGCGGTCCCGCCGTGCCACAGACTGCGCTATGTCCATTCACACCGCTGAGTGGAACGTGGTAGAAATTAAGCGGTTGATAATTTAAACGAAAAAAATTGTATTATGTACGCATGTTGAGCTTCTTTCGCGCCGCCTACTCAGTGGCGAGGAACTTTGGAAGTCTGCGCCAAATTTGGGAAGCGTTTTGTTTGTGTTGTTTTGCTGGCGCCCACGAAGAGGTTAAAGATTAACAGCAGTGTTGCTCTGGAGCACAAAGTAATGGGGCCTAGGCTGCGGCCTCCACCTCGGCAACCACAAGCCGGGTCGCCGTGGTTACGGGGCCCACAGGCAGACACGAGAACTGAAGCCTGGCATTCTTCCATCTACAAGCGGCCTGCTAGGGTTGAGATAACAACGAAACACACACATAGGCATATAGACAACACGTCTCCTTCTCAAATGTGTCGCTGCACATAAAAGAAATATGTATAAAAGTGTTTTACACAACCCACCAACCGCCCAGAGCCTGACTGCTGTCGAGCCAATGATGCCGCAACCGGTCCAGAGTATGCGAGCTATCATCCCTTAATTCTAGATTTTAAGCTTTCGTGACTGCAAGGATTCATACGCTTAAGTTTTTTCGGTAAAGTCATCCCTTGCCACCCTTAACGGGCGATGGCCAACAGCACACGGACAGCTTCTGTAAGGGGACCTTTGCACTTGTCAAAGTGATTTCCCGCTCAAGTGAACATCGGGGCGTTGGTGCACTCATCTCTGGTGTACAACGCTAAGTAGCCGGTGGAAATCCCACCTTCCTATGGCAGGAGCGACTCTGTTCATTTGACAACCGATGTTGGCTTCCCCACAGAGTGGTTACTGATTTTATCGACCCCGGAGGGAAGATGGGTTGAGTCGACCCCTAACCAGGAATTTAACTCATGACCTTCTGATTGCTGCAAGCCACCAGCCCGGTGTACAATACATACAGTACAGACAACCCTACGCAGCAGTTAAAATTTAATAACTTCAATAGTTGGTGCACAGTTTCCATGAACGTAAAAAAACAGGAAGCCAATTATATCTCGATTTTGCAAGTGTCAAAACATGTACAGTAATCCTCCCGTACACATCCCACTGGGAGCTCCTGAGCAGCACGAGCTCGCATCAGAAGACGGCCCAGCAAGAGGACGTCACAGAACCGCTTCTGAAGCCACGCGAACAGCCTCTTCATGCCCACTCGCCAAACGACTTTTTACGTGCCTCACAGAATGTTGTAACACCAAGCGCCCGGAACTTGCCTCGCCAGGCCGATACGATCAGCTCGCGACACTGGGGGACCCGGTTTAGTCGTGGCCGCAACCTGGATTCGGACCCAGGATGCTGAGAGCTTCGCCTGCATCGGGCGGCGTGGCCTTGGGTCAAACAGGGCTCAGCCCCCTCGAGCCGGCTGACCCAAAATGACAACACCCCAGCAATCTGCTGCTGCTGCTTGTGACGGTGGTAGTGGTGGTAGAGTGATTGTGGTGCTGTTTGTGGTGATGATGATGGTGGTGGTAGAGTGATTGTGGCGCTTCTTGTGGTGGTGGTGGTGCTGCTGCTGTTTGTGGTGGTTTAGTGCACATAGCCTGGCACGAGCGCCGTGTTGACATCACCGCCACTAATTGGCGAATGGCAGTTGTTGTTGTTGCTGTTCGTGATTGTGATGGTTGTGATGGTTGTGATGATGATGATGATGATGTTACAAGACTAAACACGCACAGTGGCCGTCAGAATGGGTGCCCCGTCGAGCATCGCAAAACCAACCTCCTCAAGGGAAAGTCATTTAAAGTCCACTGCGCAACGAAGTGTTGAGTCTCAAAACAATGTCTGGGCCGCCCCGAGGGATATCACCAACGTGACCGCGGTAGCCGGCCGGCCGGTCGCCCGGGGTGACGCGGCGCGAGCGTCGTCCCGCGGGCTCTTGTTGCGCGTGGATCTCGCATCTCGGGTTTCGCGGGGCCTCCGTGTCCCACCGTGACCTGCACCCTCTCCCCACGCCATCTCCACCGCCACCTCCCTGCCAGGCGAGCCCGTCTTGAGTTTCCTTTCTCGTCGATTCACTTCGTGAGCTCGATTCGGTTGTCACATTTGTCCTGCCATCTCCCCGCGTCCCCAGGTGGTGATGTACGTGGGCCAGGCCTCCAAGGACGTGCTGCGCTGGCCCCGACCGCCCTCCCCGCCGGTGGTGAAGCTGGAGACGCGCGTGGACGCCGAGTACGGCATGCCCTCCACGCACGCCATGGCCGCCACCGCCATCCCCTTCTGCTTCCTGCTGGCCACCGTCGGTCGCTACCAGGTGGGAGGGGAGGGGGCGGGCAACTCGGCATCGCACTGCAGCACTGCCGGCATCACCTTCCTTGCACGACCGGCATCAATTTGCGCTACCGACGTTAATACACACTACACCAAATATTAATTTGAGGCTGAGAAGACCTAGGGCCATTCCTCGGACCGGTTCAGATATTAGTCACTGGTGGCCCTAAGCTGGAAAAATCAAACCGGGGTCTCCGGTTTCGTAGCGCAGCGCGTTAACCGCTACGCCACCGCACATAGTATCAGTGACAGCAGCACATGCACACGCACATACCTGTCTGTCTGTCTGCAGGTGCTTGCCCAGTTGGGCATGCCACATTCTGATACGTTATGCACCCCCCACCCCCCCACCCCATTCTCAGTACTCGTACGGATGGGGGCTGCTCGTGGCCGTTCTGGTGTGCGCGCTCGTGTCGCTGAGCCGGCTCTACACGGGCATGCACACGGTGCTGGTGAGGATCCCCGCACAACAGACAGAGGCACCAGGGTTAGCCGCCATCGGCCGACGGGGCCGTCTAGCGAGCACCCGGCGATGGCCATGGTTGCGATTCGCGCCATCCCCTCCCTCGCCGCGCTCTCCCGGGCGATCCAATCTCGTCGCTCCATCTCGTCGCGGCTGGACGTGCACCGATGAACCCGGCGCGACCCCCAGGTGGAGGTCGAACCCTTGGACGGGTCAAGCTCGACGGCTGCCACCTTTTTTTTTGGTTTAGCGCCGATTTTGGGTTTTCGTGTTGTTTCTTCTCACACCGTTTTGTATTTCTGGGCAGAAGGTACAGGTACAACTGGTTCTGGCGAGCACAGCCGCCGCTGCAGGTAACCGCGGAGCCAAGGGTTGGGCAATGGCGTTGTGCGGCTTCGTAATTCATTATTTATATAGCGCCCGGCCACGCACGGGCGCTGGCGAGACACAAGCAGGATAGGAAGGAGCGCAGGGGCGGGAGGGTGAGTAGGCATACTGGCTGAGGAAGGGAGGGTGAGTGTATAGTGAGGGTGAGTGTATAGGGAGGGTGAGTGTATAGAGGTGAGCAAGCGGGGAGGGTGAGCGAGGAGGAGCCATGTGCGAGGAGCTCGGTGGCTTCGGAGCGCCCAGGTTGAGTTCCCCCCCCCAGCGCATTCCCCCCTTTAGCCGACGCTCATTCCACTGCCAAGTACGAGTGTAGCTGGTTGCCAAGAATGACAACAAGGTGAGGTAGCCACGTGGGTCAGGGGTCAGAGCACTGAGCCGGCACCGCTGAGGACATGGGTTTGTATCATGGTCAAAGCCACCGCGAGATAAGCACCTCTGCCGGTCACCGTTGCCTGCAACGCAAAAAAAAACATTTGCGTGAAATTTGGTTCCGCGCATTATTTTACTTCCAGCTTCTTAGAGTTACAAATATCGGTTCTGTTTCCTGCTCGAATGAGCACTGAGGCATTGGTGTTCATGGCACCGCTTAAAACTCTGAGCCAGTGGTGGAAATTCCACATTTTTTTTATCAGAATCAGAAACGGTTTTAATCGCCATGTAAGTTGCACAAACAAGGAATTCACTATGGCGGGATGGTGTATACATTGAACAAGTAGGAATATTAACTTATATAAGGTTATCCAGCGAGACGACCGGCTATGTCAACCCCCATCCAAGATTTGATCTCGCACCCTTTCCAAGAGCGATAGAGAGAGAGATAGATACAGAAGGAGAATGCAATTATGCATGGGGGTGTAAGTCTGGCCCACTGCCTGGGAACGCCATGCGCCCTCAGGTGGAGTGAGATGACGTTCTCCGGGTAGAGAAGACACCTCCTGTCCACGATCGTGAGAGCTCCAAGGCCGGGTTGGCTCGGGGGGAGGAGGGGGGGGGGGCGACGGGGGTGACGGGGTTCAGCAGGGCGCCACCCGGCCCGGTGTTTCGGGTTGAACTGGGTGGACGAGAAAGCCGACGGGACACGTTCGCCGTGACGCAACTACTCCTGCGGGCATTGGGGAACGCGCCAGGCAGGTCGCAAGACGTCGTCCGGGCGGGCGGGCGAGGAGAGCGACCGATCGTGCCCATGGGAGTGGCGGCCCGGTCGGGGGGCGGGGCGGTGGCGCCCGGCACTGCGTCCGAGATGGAGTGGTGGGATCGTTACGCCGCGGGCCGTGAGCGATGGTGAACGATGCGGACAGTGAGGACGATGAGCGGTCCTCTGGGTGTCACAGTGTGATGGGGCGAGTGGTCACACAGTGGTCCGCGTGCCGCGCTGCGAACCGCAGCCGACCGCGGTTGTGAGTTGTATCTGATCCCGTCCCGGGTCCCCCAATCTATACTGACCGCAGTGGTGAAGTATGGTCAAGCAAACCCGACGGCTGACGTAATGTGGCGCATCCTTCATCTGTCGGTCTATCCTCTTGTCTGTTCATCTGCCCACCTGCTGACGTCAGTCCATCCAACCATTTATCAACCTGTCCGTCTGTCTGTCCAGCTATCCATCTGTTCATCTACCAGTATGTCCCCCTGTCCATCTACCCACCCACCCACCTATCCACCTACCCACCCACCCACCCACGGTGCTGCGTGTGCTGCGTGTGCTGCGTGTGCAGGACGTGGTGAGCGGCGTGACGATCACGGCGGTGATGATCGCCGTGTCCTACCCGCTGTGGGACGTGCTGGACGAGCTGGTGCTGTCGTCGCCGCTCTCCCCGGCCTTCGTGCTGCTGGCGCCCTTCCTGCTGTGCCTCTACTACCCCGAGCTGGACCACTGGAGCACGGCGCGCGGCGACACCACCATCATCATGGGCGCCGGCGCCGGCGGCCTCCTCGCCGGCTGGCTCACGCGGCGCCTGGGTTACGACGTGGAGCCGCACGGCCCGGTGGCGGCGCCGTTGGCGCTGCCCGACATCACGCCGCACGGCGTGGTGCGGGCACTCGCCAGGTTCGGCATCGGCATCGCCGTGGTGGTCGTCACGAGACAGGTAAAGCTCTGCGTCTTCGTCGTCGTCGTCGGCACCCATGATTGATGCTGTCGGTCTAAACGTGAGATTAAGGTGGACCCCCCTAGGGCCCCCGTGTAGATGGTGAAGTCTGTGTACCCCCCCCCCCGTGTCCCCCCCTCCCGTGTCCCCCCGCCCCCCCCCCGTGTAGGTTGTGAAGTCGGTGTGTCTCCGCGCCGTGTGCCGCGCGTGCCGCGTGTCCCCGCTGGATGGCGAGTCGCGCCGCCGCCTGCAGGTGGAGGTCCCCTACAAGTTTGTGACGTACGCCACCATCGGAGTCACCGCCGTGGGCGGCGTGCCCATCCTGCTGCAGAGCCTGGGGCTCGGGTAGACACGGGGCGGGCACCCTCACCACCCTCACCAGCCTCACCACCCTCACCAGCCTCGCCAGCCTCACCAGCCTCGCCACCCTCACCACCCTCACCATCCTCGCCACCCTCACCACCCTCACCAGCCTCGCCACCCTCACCAGCCTCGCCACCCTCACCAGCCTCGCCACCCTCACCAGCCTCGCCACCCTCACCAGCCTCGCCACCCTCGCCACCCTCACCAGCCTCGCCACCCTCACCATCCTCACCACCCTCACCAGCCTCGCCACCCTCACCAGCCTCGCCACCCTCACCAGCCTCGCCACCCTCACCAGCCTCGCCACCCTCACCAGCCTCGCCACCCTCACCAGCCTCGCCACCCTCGCCACCCTCGCCACCCTCGCCATCCTCGCCACCCTCACCATCCTCGCCACCCTCACCAGCCTCGCCACCCTCACCAGCCTCGCCACCCTCACCAGCCTCGCCACCCTCACCAGCCTCACCACCCTCGCCACCCTCACCACCCTCACCAGCCTCGCCACCCTCACCAGCCTCGCCACCCTCACCAGCCTCACCAGCCTCACCATCCTCACCACCCTTACCATCCTCACCACCCTCACTATCCTCATCACCCTCACCACCCTCACCACCCTCACCAGCCTCAACACCCTCACCACCCCCACCATCCCGAGTATCCTCACCACGATCACTCGCCATGTTCCCGAAGACCCTCATCCTCGCCACGACCCTCACCCTCACCATCCAGCCCTCCCCCTCATTAGACGCCTCACCCTCACTGCTCACATCTTATCCTCGCGCTCACCCTCATCCTCGCCCTCACCACAAACCCTCACCACAAACCCTCACCCTCACCACCCTCACCCTCACCACCCCCACCACCCTCACCCTCACCACCCTCACCCTCACCACCCTCACCACCCTCACCACTGGGCAAGACGGAAGGGCAGCGAGGGTCTCTGCTCGGACGTCACCGAGGGGCCGAGCGGACGGCGTCGGTGTGACGCGCCGAGTGGGTACCCCATCCTGGACACCGGACACGCTAAGGACACGCTAAGGACACGCTAAGGACATGCCGTGGATGTACCCCCGTGAAGGCTGCGTGTGCGGCACGTGGAGGTGGAGTTGGCGGCCGTGCTCTCCGCTCATGAAGCGTGTCCGCCATCACCGGCGATCGCTAGCCGAATGCTGCACCACTTTTACCAAATTGATATTTTGATTTTTTGAACAACAAAACTGTCAGTGTACACGTATGTATTTGTTGGCATATGTTAATGAGCACTAATTTATTGAATGGCATTTTTTTCTCTTATTAAAATGCAGGGAGTGGATGCGCCGTGCGTTGTGTGCGGGTTGTTTTGCGCGTAGCATCAACGATGTACCTGAATGCCGAACTTCTTTCGCGCCGTACGTAGCCAACCGCGCTAATCGGCGGTGCGACGGGGGATGGCCCCACGATGCACGCCCTCGCACCGGGGCCTGGCACGCGTCAACTGCACCGGCGCTGCCCTCGAGCACAGCGTTGTCTATCGGGCCGACGTTTCGGGCAACGGACCTCCTTTGGAGCGGACACGTCACGCTCCGTTTGCGCCACCAGGGAGCGCTGTGACCACGTGGGGTGACGGCCGCGCAGCTGCTGCTGCTCGCGGCTGCCCGTGAACCAACACGCCGTGTGGAGGCGGCAGCAGCAGCGAGGGTTGGTGGATCGCACGCAGGTGTTGTGAGATTCCCTTGCCGTGGGTGTCGGGGACGTGCCATACGCCTGGCTCGCCTGGAGAAGCCGGCAGAGACAAGACGTCGACTCCGCCTGCCCCGTCTTGTGCGGGATCGAGTGTTTCCCCCTCGTTCACACGCATAGGCTTTCTCCGGTTTCCTCCCACGTGAAAAGACCCGTTAATCGGCTGAAAACGCAATAATATATAGAGGTCCACAGAACTTGGGCAATTGTTGGCGCCGACTCTCTCCATTCGAGAGCGAGCGAACTTCTGTGCGGTGGCAGCGTGTGCCGAGTTGACAGTGATGATGGCGATGTACGTTGAACTTCTTTCACCCCGTAGGTTGCCAGCCGTGCTTATCGAAGGTGCGGATAAGTGGGGGGGGGGGTGAGATTTAAACAACGGTGAACGAGCAACCGGAATTGAGCCATGCCCTATCTGCTGCTGAGTGGAGGTCTCCGTTACGAGGGCAGTGGGGACACGGCCCATCGTCTCACTGCCCCCCCCCCCCCCACCGTGAGAGCGCCGTGCGGGTCTGGGTGAAGTTCCTCCGCTGGGTGAGGGCGCCCTCTGGTGGCGCTTCCTGGTGGCGCCTTCTAGTGGCGCGCCGCTCTCGTCCCTTTGATTCCTGTGTCCACAACTGTAGACTCACCTGTACACACACCTGTACACACACTTGTAGACTCACCTGTACACACCTGTATACTAACCTGCAGTTATAGCAGTGCACCCACCTGAACCCACTCACCTGTGCATATTCGTACACCCTCAGCTTTCTCACCTGCACACTCATCTCTACACGCTCACCTATTGCATGGCTCTGCTCCTCCGACACGTTGGGGTCTAGGTTCGAGTTCAGGTATCGGCTGCTTGCGCGTGTTAGTAGGGGCGTGTGCGTGGCGTCATTGCGTGTGTATGACGTCATCACGCACGCTACACCCACACACGGGACATGGCTCACGCCAGCGTGACGTCACCACGCACGTGACTTGGCGACGCTTATCCCTGGGTTGGGCAACATTGCAGCATAATCGGCATCGTTGTGGAGCATCTCAACCACAAGCAGACAATTCGACTCCTTCCTTCACAGGTCTGTCACTCCACACGGCCCTCTGGGAGTGAGTGCACGATTTCAGGCAGCACTGGTTCAACACGCAAAAACTCCAGATCGATTTCGACAATCGGTGTCTCATCAGCGGGGTGGGTTACCAGGCTTGTTTGAACCAATGCTGGCGAAATGTCAGCTGTTTATCGGCAAGGACCCTCTCGGTTGGATATGGGTACAAGTTCAATGTAAACTCATACAATCATTAACAATGATGAATTACAGCACTCCGTGCCATCCACACTGCACCCTCCCAAGGGGTCCCCCCTTACCCCCCCCCTACCCCCCCCTCCTCGTGAAGAGAAACCCCCTCGCAGGGTCCCACTGGTTCGCGTCCAGCTCCCCTGTTGAGTGATGTCCAAGACCAACAAGGGAATTGTACAGAGCCACGGACAACACAACTCCACTACTCTTCATCCTTAAGAAGCAAATCCATTTTATTTGAAAAGTCTTAAATGTATACAGTTCCACAAAAATATATTCCACATCTCAATTCCGCACGTCACTCCAAAATAAGAATTCCAGTGAAAAACTCGGTGACGCGACATACGTGGGCGAGTGGCAGTGTTGGTCCGTCACAGTTGCTGCTTCAGCAGTGCACGCGATCACGGATCTTTGTTTTTTTTACCAATTATGAACGAGTAAAAGTGGATTGACAATTACAAATAGGTAACAATGGCATTGGCTAATTGTGGCAGACTTAAAGCCCACTTACAAATCATCACCGCCAGCAGTCCAACCATCCTTGGGTTACAACCCGCACACAACTTCCATCCTTGGGTTATCCACGATCCGTGAGCGCGTCCAAAGCTGGCATCATCATAACAGCTGTGCAAGTTCACCGTCGCGTTCACGTATTTCTCTGCGATGTAAACACAACGATAGGAACATCACACAGCACTTGCCCCGACAGTCTACGAGGCTACAGGGCAATCTTTTACTTTGTTACATGGCAAGACCGTGAGAGATGAAAGGCCTCCATCCAGCAGCGTTTAGACCACGGCCGGCGGCGATGTTCTCGGCCGAGTGCGAGAGTCACGGCACAGTAACGTGGACAAGCGCTCGACGGATGGCGGCGCCGCCACCGTCCCCACCCCCCCGCCCCCCGTGCCGTCGAGGCCACCTCCCGCGCGCTTGCCAGGCCTCAGGCTTGCGCCAGCAGCACGATGTCCACGTGGTCGTGAGCGCCCTGCAGCAGCACCTCGCCATCGTAGGTCACCAGCTTGCGGCGCTTGGCGGCGCGCAGCGTCCCCACCAGCGCCTCGAACAGGTTGGCGCAGCGGTCGTCCGCAAACAGCGTCCCGAACTTCACCCGCACGAGGCCGTCCTGGCCTGGGGAGCGGCGGCGTGGGGGGGGGGGTGGAGGAGAGACGGTGAGGGTGAGGTGAGGTGGAGGACGGGGTGAGTAGAGAGGTGGGGAGAGCGTGGGGTGGTGATGAGGTGTCGGTGAGGTTGGATAAGGTGACGAGGGAGGAGGTGCAGGTGATGTCAGGATGGGGTGATGTCAGGTGGAGGACGGTGTATGGGATGCGGTGAGGAACGTGAGGTGATGAGGTGGAGTGGAGGTGCTCTCGGTGCCGTTGATCAACGGCTGCACACAAAACGACCTTACACATTGAATTTGCTTCTGTACTTCAATTGGATTAAGTCCTAGCTCTGATTATCCAATTTCTGTACAAACTGCCACACCATGAGCAGAGCTCTCGGTGGCAGGGTGCGTGGGGGCGGTGAGTGGGGGCGGTGAGTGGGGCAGTGCTGCCCTCTACTGGGCGGGCTGAGTGGGGGCAGTGAGTGAGGGGGTGAGTGAGGGGGGTGAGTGGGGGCAGTGAGTGAGGGGGTGAGTAGGGGTAGTGAGTGAGTGGGGGCAGTGAGTGTGGAGGGTGAGTGGGGGCAGTGAATGAGGGGGCTGAGTGGGGGGAAGAGCGAGAGAGCGAGAGAGCGAGAGAGAGAGCGAGGGAGAGCGAGAGAGAGGTGTGGTGGTGGGATCGTGGCTCGTCTCGCGATACACAACCAGGGGAAGGGCCCCGTGAGAGCCACAGCGAGAGTCACAGCGAGAGCCACAGCGAGAGTCACAGCGAGAGCCACAGCGAGAGTCACAGCGGCAGCCGTACCGGGCGCTCCCAGCCGCCTGATCTCCTCCAGCAGCAGCGACACCTCGTGGTCCACGTTCATAGCGACGGCGCTAGCGCACACACACACAACACAAACGAGACAGAGATCCCCCGGCGTAGCCTTCGCGGACTGCTGGGGGCAAGTGCTGTGAGCGAGAGCATCAGCAGCAGCAGCAGCGATGGAGGGCGGCACGGCACGCCGAGCGGCTGGGTGGGTGACCACGTGCTGCTCTCTCTCTGCCGTGCCGGTGCTCGGCGTTCTCACGTCGTGCTGCCCTCTAGGGGTGATCAAAGCGAAGCACATCGGGGTCAGCACACGCCTTGTGACTCCCCCCTGCCAGAGGTCACAGCACCTTGACCACAACAAGGCGGAGCGTAGCGATGGATCCACTGTTACCATCTCGTTCCTTGTGGTCCATTAAAGCGGTTACCGTTCCATCGCTTGGACATATCCGTGTTAATACAATACGTTTGTATTTCATGGCAATATTTGATGAGATACATACACGTGCTGTTATGAATGTGCAAATACTGTAGCTCTGTATCACCCAAAGCAATGAGGCCTTGCCAGAATGTGCTTGCAAGGTACATCAGCGGTTTAATGCATTGGCTACCTCCAGTGTGCCGGACGGCACGCTCGGATTGTGTGAGATTCACTAAAGCAGCGTGGTGATGTTCACTACGCCAGTTTGACTGTAAATACAAATCAGTCGATCTTTGTGACCCAGTTTGCAAAAGTATACATTGTTGTAGGCGCATGTGTTCAAGTGTTCAAGAGCGGAATGAATGCTCTCATCTCTTTCCTTTCATTCCAACCGGAGTCCAACTCATTCCAACTTTGACCTCATTCATTTCTACCAATCGTTACCAAACCTAATTCACTACGGACCGATGCAAGGGCGGTTCTTTCAATCCAACATCACGGTGTTCAGATCATCCTGACGCTGCCGTACGTTGCTGCACCGTTGTGTTCAACTGTTTAGTCGGATAGTGGCGCGCGCGACAATGGCAGAACACCCTGCCCGGCCGCCTTTGTCTCCCAAGTGCTGATGTTATTTATACACCGCACCAGTGCAGTACTCACTTGTGGCCCAATCGAAGTAGGGGAGACCCCGGCAACGACTCAGATCACCGTCACTGCTATTGGCCGTGAGCGGGAATCTAACTCGGGTGGCCAGGTTCGTGAGCGTAGTGCGCTAACCACTGCGCCACCGCTCCCCGCTGTTGACACGCGCGCACACGGAGAGGATTTTGTCCTCTCGCGGAGCCTCCTGCCGGGTTCTCGCGGCAGGGGGCGATGCTGCTGCGCGTGAGAGCAGCAGCTTCGAGATGGCAACCAGGAACCAGCTTTGGCCGGGGGAGGGAGGACGGCCTTCATCCAGCAGTGGATTGACAATGGAGGGAGGGGGGTGAACGCATTTTAACCTCCACCAGCCACCCCCGTAGACCTGGTTTGCCTCCATCTTCTCCTGGCACACGCCGTCCAGTCTCCCGTGGCTGCTGCTGCCGCTCCACAGCCGTGCGAGCGTCTCGCCCAGCTTAGCGGCGAGCCGGCGAATTACCCAAAAGTAACTTCCGCACGAGACACAACGCCACCTATCCAGGTAGTTTGTAGGCTTTCATCCAGCAGTGGATAAACCATGGCTGGCGGTGATGATGATGGGCGAACGGCGCTTGTGCCCCACGGTAACGTAAGAGTCGCTGCCCCCACTGCTGCTGCTGACGGTCATGGTGGTGGTGGTGGTTTCTATTCAACGAATTGTTTGGGGCACAGGTTGGGTGACTCTTACACAACTCTGAGACCACGACCCTCTGGCGCAGCCTTCAGAGTTCTCTCTCTCTCTCTCTCACCTTGGGTCGCGCAAACAGAAACACACTCGCGAACGTGGAGTCTGGCTGCTGAGGTCCCGTGGGCGAGGTTCGCGTCCAGGCTGTGGTTGAGCAGGAAGAGGAGGAAGCTGCCGCGCCCAGTCACGAGGAGGAGGAGAGCCTCCTCCTCCTCCCCGTGAGCACGAGGGGGGAGGGGCAACTGGGAGGGTCTCCTCCCCCCTCCCACGCCATGGACAAGCCGGGCGGGGGGGGACGAGGTTGGTTCCTCTGAACCCCTGCCAGCCCGGTTAGATTCCCGCTCGCGGCCACCACCACCACCACCAGAGGCGATCATCTCAACCGGTTCTGGCGCCTCCCCTAGGTAGACTCAGCCTCAAACGAGTGCCTGGTGCGGTGGAGACAAAGGCGGCCGGGAGACGTGGTGCTGGTCAACCCACTTCACGCCCTCGCGTGCCGCGTGCCGACTCGTCACAGGAGTCTGCACGGTCCGAGCCGTCCTCTATCCACTGCTCGATGCGAGCGACCCCAGTCTGGCTGGCAGCAGCATCCTGCCCGCCACGCGCGGCCGTGGTTATGTAATCGAGGCAATGGTCCCCCCCCTCCCCCCGCTCACCCGCAGCAGACTGAAGGGGGCGACTCCACTTTTCGTCATCGGCAGCGGCAGCAGCAGCAGCATGAGGCCCATTGTCTCATACTGCTGGTGGAAGGCCATCTCAAGACCCTGGACGAGAATCAGTCACCGTACCAGCTAATCTCTTCTCCAGCACGTAGTGCAGCACGCAATCACAAGGGCCTTGCTCAATTCAAGGGCAGTTTTACAACTTTCATGTTACTGTACAACTTTCGTAAGTGTGTTGCTGGCCGCTGGTACACAAATACACGGATTCATATACGCGAATGGACAAAGACAAATGTCACCTAGATAGCCTTGACTGATTGTTGGGGCAAGTGGCGTTAGCGAGCACCTTTTAAGGCCGGCACGGTATATGAGCGGGTGGGGGACCAGTACCCCACGCCCAGCCGCCTTTGTCTCCCCAGTGGAAATGTTCTCATCGCACCAGGTACTAATTTCAGGCTGAGTCGACCTAGGGGAGGCCCAGGACCGGTTCGGGTTGCCGGGTTCGGAGCGCAGTGGCGCTAACGGCGGCACCACCGCTCCCCACAGACAGCACTCACAACCGTAACCCACAACAAGACAAAGTTCCCCCGTGTAGCCTCACAGGACCGTAGCAGCAAGTGCTGTTGTACCATTGTATAATACCGGCAAGGCACGCTAGTGGGCGGTGTGGTCAGTACCTCGCCCGGCCGCCTTTGTCTCCCCAACGCTTAAGGCGTCGCTGGTCATCTCTGAGCAGCGCTGTGCACGGCAGTAACGCGTTACTCTCGTCAAAGTAATCCCGTTACTCGGCACGACCGCTTCACTTTCACCAACTACAATGATCACGTCACCATTTCAAACCAGCGACGTGTAAACCTTGGTGTCCGACGCACAGGCTGCAGTCCGAGTAAGGAAATCGCAGCAAGCTAAATAAGTAATGGGATGATGTTACTTCGAGAAGAGATCCGACTGGAACGTGTCACATCGTGACGAGCCGGTACCCTTTGAGTGGTCTCCGAACCAGAAGTGTGCTCACACACGCGCGCGCACGTGTGCATGCATGCACACACAAGGCAAAGACTCCCCGGATAGCCTTACACAGACTGTTGGGGCAAGTGTTGTTAGCGAGCACCTATGAAGGCCCGGAACAGCACATGAGGGTGGCCAACACCACGCCGGGCCGCCTTTGTCTCCCCAGTGCTGATTTTTAATACACACTGCACCAGGTACTAATTTGAGGCTGAGTCGACCTAGGGGAGACCCGGGACTCGTTCAGATATTCTTAACTGGTGGTGGACGTGTGCTGGAGTCGAACTCGAGTCCACACGTGCACGCGTACACGTATATACACGCATACGTGTACGCAAACACGCCTGTGTGTACGTGTGCACACGTGTCTTTACACGCCATGTACGCACATACGTGTGCACACACCGTGTGCACACACACGGGCAGCAGGAATAACAGCAGCGCCCGGGGTTTATCGAGGCGAAGCCAAAGGAATGCCCGGAACGCAACAAGGCGGCGCATCTCTGGTGAGAGACAGAGACACGCGGAGAGAGGCAGAGAGACAGAGAACGCCTCACGAATATACCGGCAGAGACACGGAGAGACAGGCATAGAGACAGAGAGACAGAAAGACAGAGAGACAGAGACAATCAGACAGAGATTCAGACGGACAGACAGAGACAGACGGATACGCATCAAACGCAGACGTACAGATAGACAGACACCATCACCTCCATACAAAGATTGCCCCAATAGACTGTTGGGGCAAGTGCTGTCCGCGTCATGCTCGACCGCCTTTGTCTCCCAGTGCTGATGTTTACACACCGCCCTGGGCACTCGTTTAAGGCTGAGTCAACTTAGGGACACGCACCTGAACATACAAACCGGGTTCTGATGAGAAAGAGATGTGGGAAGGGGTGTGTGGAGGGTGGGAGAGAAGGCGGCGTGGATCGAGGGATGGGTAGAGGAAAGGAGCGAGCGATGGAGGGAAGACGGTGGGAGGGGAGACGGTGGGGGGGAGACTGAGGGAGGGAGATGGAGAGAGGGAGGGAGTGAAGGAGGGGAGCGAGGCGAGGGTTATTTATCCGGAGGAGTGAAGGAGGGGAGGAGTGAAGGAGGGGAGGAGTGGGTGGTGGGCCGTGTGGACACACACACGCACGCACGTGGTGTCTCTTCTCGAGCCCGGGCACGGGCTGGAGGAGAGATGGAGCCGACGTGGTACAGTCCGATGTAGAGTGGACTTGCCGATGACTGGTACCAGCGGCGTCAAGGTCGACTTCTGTGGAGGAGGCTCGTGAAGGACGCTGCTACTGGGCAGTTGGAGGCAGTCGCCCTCCAACAAAAGCGGAAGGCGGAGGAGCGACACTCACAACAACGAGCGAAGCGCCGGACGGATTAAACGCAGCAAATTGGCGCAGTGGGGAGCACAGGTGATGCATCGGCCAATCATCCCATTCAGCCCATGGCACCTGGGTCTGTCCCGTTACCTCTGCCAGCGAGCTTTGGACGATTCACGTGGCCTCAAAGTGCACGTGGCCTGGCACAGGCGCCGTGGTGACGTCACCGCCACTTATGTGGCGAATGGGGTTGTTGTGTGTTGTCTTCGTTGTTGTGCGTTCGTGTTCATGCGTGGTGATAGAATGACCATCGTGAGTCTCCGCCTCCGCGTGGCGCGGGGCGATGTCCTGGACACTGTCCAGATGACGGCCCCGGAGCAGAGGGGGGGGGGGGGGCGGGGAGGCGGTTGTGGTTGTGCGTGTTTCGGGTGGAGTGGGGTGGTGGTGGTGGGTTTAGTCGGGTGGTGGTGGGTAGGTGGGTGGAGGTGGCTCTGAGCGGTGGGCTGGGATTAAGGAACCGTTATCTGAGTTTATAAAACGCCCGGGCGGCAGCATCGCGCGGCACATCACGCGAGCGGTCCCACCCAGGGGTCCCACCAAGGGGTCTCAGCGAGGGGTCTCACCGAGGGGATCTCAAGCGCGCCGCGGCCGTGCAAAGAGGGGGGAGGGTGCAGGGAGCTTCTGTCGGGGTCCCCTGGGCGAGGTCCAGCCAAAGCAGGTAACACCCCGCGCGGAGTGACCACTGGTTTTGGGGCAGCATAGAGAGGGGCTGGCCCTACAACTCGAATCACAATACCGCTAGACGCGCCCCTGCCCTCACCAGCCACTCACCAGCCACGCTCATCACCCTCCCCCCTCCTCCTCACGGCCACAACCTTCATCCGGCCAGCACCTCCTCCCCCACCCCAAACCTCCTCTGATCGTCCGTTTACGAGCCAGAATCTTCAGCCAGCACCTCCAGCCACCACCTCCTCCTCCTCCTCCGCGCATCCACTCTCAGCCAGGACCTTCAACCATCCAGCAACTCCTGTTCCATCTCGCCGACAGCACCAACTTGGTCTACCAGAGACGCCTTCCTCCAGCCAGCACACCTCCTTCTCGCCATCAATCTCCTTCACCAGTAGCTTTAGCCAGCAATCTCGTCCACGTACAGCCAGGACCTACCGCCCCACCTCCACCACCACCACCGCTTCATCCACCTCCGCTTGCTCCTCCATCTACCACCAGCCCACCGGCCCCCCTCCCACCACCCATCCCCCCTTGCTCCAGGCATGGGCGCCTCGTGCTTCCAGCTGCTGGGGGTGTCGCTGGGCCTACTGGGCTGGGTGGCCCTGGTGGTGGCCACGGCCACCAACGACTGGGTGTTGCTCTGCTCCTACGGCTTCACGGCGTGCGTGCGCTTCGAGGACATGGGCAGCAAGGGCCTCTGGGCTCAGTGCATCAGCAACAACGGCATCGACCACTGCAAGCCCTTCGCGGAGATATTATCCCTGCCAGGTACGTCCACGCATGTGCACCTCTGTGCGTGTGTGGGTTGCGGCGGTGGTGGCGGGGAGCGGTGGCGCAGTGGTTAGCGTATTGCGCTACGGAACCACCGAGCTGAGTTCGATTCCCGCTCACAGCCATCACCAGAAGCAACCATCTGATTCGATCTGGTACCTCCCCTAGGTTGACTCAGCCCTAAATGGATACCTGGTACGGTGTGAACTTAATCAATAGGGGAGACAAAGGCGGTAGGGTTGAGGCGCGCCGTGCCGACCTCAATAGGTGTCCGATAACGCCACTTGCCCTAAAAGTCGTAATGAGAATCTTTATTTTGACTGCAAGAGGAGGAATCCGATGAGCTATGAAGCTCTTCTACACAGATGTCCAGTAAGGGCGGGTCAGCAAGTTACAACAGCAAACAATACAAACACACGATAGGCGTGCAAAGTAGAGAGAGGGTGGTAGTAAGCAAGTTACTAAATAAAAATAATAAAGGGAAATGAAAATCATTATATAAGTCCAATTTATCAAGGCTGGGCAAGGCGGCTAAAACAACAACAGCAGTCCGAGGCAACGCCACACGGCATTAGTAGCCCCTCTCTAGACGGCGCATTAACAATATTGAACTATCGAAACCGCACAGGTCGTGATCAACTCTGTGCGCCTTTTGCGGGGGCTCTTTGCCGTTGTCGATCGGGAGCGGTGGCGCTGTGCTCCGCGCACTGCGATCCCCCATCCGCCGTGGTGGCTCGGAGATGTTGACTACCTCGCCTGGTATACAGGAGGTCGTGGGTTCGATGGTGAGATGTTAACTACCTCGCCTGGTATACAGGAAGTCGTGGGTTCGATGGTGAGATGTTGACTACCTCGCCTGGTATACAGGAGGTCGTGGGTTCGATGGTGAGATGTTAACTACCTCGCCTGGTATACAGGAAGTCGTGGGTTCGATGGTGAGATGTTGACTACCTCGCCTGGTATACAGGAGGTCGTGGGTTCGATGGTGAGATGTTAACTACCTCGCCTGGTATACAGGAAGTCGTGGGTTCGATGGTGAGATGTTGACTACCTCGCCTGGTATACAGGAGGTCTTGGGTTCGATGGCGAGATGCTAACTACTTCACCTGGTCTACATGAGGTCGTGGGTTCGATGGTGAGATGTTGACTACTTAGCCTGGTATACAGGAGGTCGTGGGTTCGATCCCCAACCTGACGCCTGCTGTATATTTGGAGTGTGCGTGCCTCTCTCCCCGTAGTCGCGTGGATTTTCTCCGAGGCCTCCGGTTTTTCCCTCCGCATTTGGAATTAACATCACGCGATTAAAGTATTTGCCAACTTTACCTTTCCACGTGACGACAAGCCACTTCATTGAGCTATCATTTATGGCCAGGTCGCTTCTGACCCGCGCCTACCAGGCATCTGTGAAGAAGAGCTTTATAGCTCTTCGGATTCCTCCGGCGGCGAGCGATGTGTACGAGCTGCCGCCGCCCCGCTCACAAACCCGCGTGGTCAAACAAGAGAAGCGAGAGACGAAACACGCCAGACACACACACACCATGCACACACCATGCATACACCATGCACACACCAGGCACACACACCATGTACACACACCATGCACACACCATGCACACACCATGCACACATCATGCACACACACCATGCACACACCATGCACACACCATGCACACACCATGCACACATCATGCACACACACCATGCACACACCATGCACACACATCATGCACACACCATGCACACACACCATGCACACACCATGCACACACACCATGCACACACCATGCACACACACCATGCACACACCATGCACACACCATGCACACATCATGCACACACCATGCACACACCATGCACACACCATGCACACACCATGCACACACCATGCACACACCATGCACACATCATGCACACACCATGCACACACACCATGCACACACCATGCACACACACCAATGCACACACCATGCACACACCATGCACACACACCATGCGCACACCATGCACACACACCATGCACACACCATCTCTCTCACTCCGTCTCCACATCGAAAACAACGACAACGGTTGCGTTAGAAAAAATAGGCGGTGGACTCGAGTGTTGTTTGTTGGGGGGAGGCGGGCGGGGGGGGAGGGATTCTACGCGACCCCCCCCCCCCCACCAAATCCTCTCTAGAGTGGTGTGTCGCAAATTGCCCCGATGTTGTCTAAAAACAAAAATCTAAACTTATAAATAACTTGGCTCCGTCGTTAAAAATTGCCCCGAAAACACGGGAAAAGCAATCGCATTACCCCCCCAAATTGCGGCGTTCCGCTGGAGCGTGCGTGGTAGCATTAAGCGGTGCCCCCCCCCCCCCCCCCCCGAGGAAGCGCACCCGCCCCCTGTTTGTTTTCGTTCCTCTGTGTGGGGAGCGGTGGGCGCAGTGGTTTTGGTTCGCCGCGCTGCGTACGAAGCCCGCGCCCTGGATTACACCCCACGGCTAACATCAGTGGCGAGTGCAAATCTGAACCGGCCCTGGACCCCATCGCCCCACAACCTTCCCCTGGTGCGGTGTTTCGGCATCGGCACTGGGAAGACAAAGGCGGTTTGGTGGTGCTGGCCACCCACCCCTTCTCGTGTGCCGTGCAGGCCTTCAGAGGTCCTGCTGCTGCTGCGACTCGCTGACATCGCTTGCCCCTGCATCCTATGAAAGGCTACTCGGGGATCTTTGTCTATCTTTGTGTTAGTGCATCATCCCTGGGGTGACGATGGGATGAGTTATTTGGCCGGAGCAGGGCGGATGATGTAATCGCGAGTTTAGATTGTTGCTCGGCCATCAACATTTTTAATTCCTTAATGAGATGTTAATCGTTTATTTATGCGGTCGCAATAAAACATCCAAACTATGTCCATGCACGATTACAGTATAGGTAACCGTCCTAGTTGCTGTGCTACCAGGCATTTCCCCGTGGCCACAAACCACGCAGCCCAGGCTGGGATTGGCAATTTACACGGTACGTCGCGATGATGATGCTGCTGCTGCTGCTGTTGTTGTTGATGATGATTAGGATGATGATGATGATTACCAAAACCGTTACGTGGTTTATAATGGCCACCTCCTGTGTACCTGTGTGGAATGCCGCACGTGCAACCAATGAGGATTGGAATGCGCGGCTGCTGCTGCGAGTGTGGGGAGGGGTGGGATGAGTGAGTGTGGATTTGAGGGACGCGACGTGCGTGTGAGCGAGTGAGTGTGTGCCTGAGTGTTTGATCTCTCACCTGCTCCGAATTAGAACCGCTGCACTACCGCACCCCACGCCCTGTCGGGAGCGGTGGCGCAGCGGTTAGGGCTATGCTGCGCTACGAACCCGGCCACCCGGGTTCGATTCTCGCTCACGGCCAATACCAATTACGATTATCTGAAGCGGTCCTAGGCTTCCCCTAGGTCGACTCAGCCTCAAAGGAGTACCTGGTGCGGTGTGTAAACATCACCACTGGGGCGACAAAGGCGGCCGGGCGTGGTGCTGGCCACCCACCTCCTCGTGTTTCGTGCCGGCCTTCATAGGTGCTCGCTAACCGCACTTGCCCCTACAGTCTGTTAAAGGCTATATGGGGGATCTTTGTCTTTGTGAGTGTGTGATCTCTCACCTGCTCCGTATTATAGAGGTGCGCGCCCTCGTTATAGCGCGCGCCTGTCACTGAGTGGGGTTGGTGGATCGCACAGAGATCACGTGCCGTCACGTGCCGTCACGTGCAGTCACGTGCTGTCACGTGCTGTCCGAGTGGAGCCAGTGTGAGCGTGAGAGGGGGTAGGCGGATGGTCGTACTGGCCCAGAGAGGGGGGGAGGGGTGATCGTGAACCCGTCTGTGTGCAACTCCGCGTGTTAATCGGAGGTGAGGTTTTCTCCCGGGGTGTTCCCCACGCGGGAGACAAGCTGCTTCAGAATTGGCCAAGCATCCCAATGTAGGAGCCTCGTGATGACGAATCTGGAAGATCATTCTCGACAGCGAGACCCGGTGGCTCGTTTCATTATACAAATATAAACGCCGGCACTCTCAGGCGGCCACTTTGCAAGAGTCCACGAGATCAACAACAATCAACAATAAAAACAACAACTTCAATACCAACACCAATCAACAACAATAAACAACAACAACCCACATCAATCAACATCAATTGACGGCGACGTCTCAGCGAGGCGACACGCTCGCAGGGGGACACGTGTGGTGTGCAGGGTGGTGGTGATAGTGGAGGTAGTAATAGTTGTGGTGGTGATAGGGGTGGTGGTGATAATGGTGGTGGTGGTAGGCCTTCATAGGTGCTCGCTAACAGCACTTGCCCCTCCAGTCTGTGAAGGCTACACGGGGCACATTTGTCTTTGGTGGAGAGACTTACGAGGTATTTGGCGCCATCAATGGCATCGCCGGTTGACGTCGCCGCAATCTCCCTATCTATGAGTTTGTATACTCTGTCGAGTATTTGAGTTTGTTTTTACTGCAGAGTATTTCAGTTTGTTTTTACTGTAGAGTATTTCTATGAGTCTCGATGCATATCTATGTGTCGTTATGATCCGCTAGCCCACAAGCTGCATAGCCATAATCACACACGGCGGCGGCTTTGTAAAGAAACGTTTATCGAGCATTTTGACCTGTTCTCAGAAACCATGATTTTTAAAAATATATATACAGTGTACAAAGTATATAGAAGTCTGAGCCCCCCAGGGGCAAGGCGGAATGGTTTTGGGGGTGAATGTTTACGCGGTAATTGCTCAAATTAATGTCTCGCGTTATCGTAGTCATCGCTAGAGACCCAGGCGCGTGAGTCAATGCGATTTGTGGGATTAGTTGCGCCCACTCACTCACTCCTCACTCACTCACTCACTTGCCCACTAACTCCTCACTCACTCCTCACTCACTCACTCCCCACTCACTCACTCCTCACTCACTCACTCACTCCTCACTCACTCACTCCTCACTCACTTACTCCTCACTCACTCACTCCTCACTCACTCCTCACTCACTCACTTGCCCACTAACTCCTCACTCACTCCTCACTCACTTACTCACTCCACTCACTCACTCACTCCCCACTCACTCGCTCGCTCGTCCACTCACTCCTCACTCACTCCTCACTCACTCCTCACTCACTTACTTGCCCACTAACTCCTAACTCACTCCTCACTCACTCCTCACTCCACTCACTCGCTCGCTCGTCCACTTATTCCTCACTCACTCCTCACTCCACTCACTCACTCCTCAGTCACTCACTCGCTCTTCCACTCACTCCTCACTCACTCACTTGCGCACTCACTCATCACTCGCGCACTCACTCCTCAATCGCGCACTCACTCGCTCGCCCACTCGCTCGCCCACTCCACTCACTCACTCCTCACTCCACTCACTCGCCCACTCACTCACTCGCTTGCCCGCTCACTCACTCCTCACTCGCCCACTCACTCGCCCACTCACTCACTGGCTTTCCCGCTCGCCCACTCACTCCTAATTCACTCACTCGCCCACTCACTCCTCACTCACTCACTCGCTCGCCCGCCCACTCACTCATTCGCCCGCTCGCTCACTCCTCACTCGCGAGCACAGCAGTCGCAGCAGCAACAGCCCCCGGTTGTTATTGTGTGTGTGTACAAGTGTGTTTGCGTGTGTGGGGCCTTTCCAATCAGCCCCCCTAAATCTAAGCACCTGCCTGGGTATTTTGTACCATCGGACACTCCACCCCCATAACTCCCAATCGGTAATGTGGCAGTTGCGGAGAGAGTGGACAGTTTTCCATACCTGGGCAGTGTGCTCATGCCCGGCTCCGATTTGACAGCAGAGGTCTCACTCCGAATCAGTCGAACGGCATTATATTTTCATCGGTCGCGTAACACTGTGTGGAAGCTACTTGGTCTGTCGCTCCGCACGAAGCTTCAGGTCTTCTCGGCCACGGTCATTCCCTCCCTTCTCTACGCTTGCGAAACGTGGACCCCCCTAATGGAACATTTTCGCCGGTTAGAAACATTTAGGCTGGCCTGCCTACGATCCATCCTGGGTTTAACCAGGCTGGATTGTGTGAGGAGCTCACAAATCCTTGAAAGATCTGGGCAAAGTCCCATCGGTGAGCTCCTCCGGCAGGCAAGGCTGCGTTGGCTGGGTCATGTAGCCCGCATGCCCAGCCACCGCATGCCTTAACAGCTTTTGTTCGGCCGGATCGAGGGGGCTAAACGGGCGCGGCACGGGTTAGAGAAGAGATGGAGTGATGTGGTACAGGAGGACGTGGAGCTGAGTGGACTTGCCAATGACTGGTACCAGCGGTGTCAAGATCGGCCTCTGTGGAGGAGGCTCGTGAAGGACGCTACCGGGCAGTTGGAGGCAGTCGCCCTCCAACAACAACGGAGGGCGGAGGAGCGACGCTCACAACAACGAGCGGAGCGCCGGGTGGCTAAAGCACAGCAAGTTGGCACAGTAGGGGGCACAGGTGGTGCATCAGCCAGTCATCTCGGTCATCTCGGTCAGTCGACCCGTGGCACCTGCTGGGTCTGCCTCTTGACCTCCTGCCAGCGGGCGTTCAACACTTCACGTGGCCTCAAGGTGCACTTGGCCTGGCACAAACGTCGTGGTGACGTCACCGCCACTTAGTGGCGAATGGCGGTTGTTGTTATACAGGTTTGTGGGTGTCAGTGTACATACAGGTGTGTGTGTGTCAGTGTACATACAGGTGTGTGTGTGTCAGTGTACATACAGGTGTGTGTGTGTCAGTGTACATACAGGTGTGTGAGTGTCAGTGTACATACAAGTGTGTGTGTGTATCAGTGTACATACAAGTGTGTGTGTGTCAGTGTACATACAGGTGTGTGTGTGTCAGTGTACATACAGGTGTGTGTGTGTCAGTGTACATACCGGTGTGTGTGTGTCAGTGTACATACAGGTGTGTGTGTGTGTGTGTCAGTGTACATACAGGTGTGTGTGTGTATCAGTGTACATACAGGTGTGCCGGGCACTCATGGTGGTGGCCTGCGTGCTGGGCCTGCCGGCCATCCTGCTCGCCAGCACGGGCCTCAAGTGCATCCGCCTGGGCGAAGAGACGGCCTCCGAGAAGGCGCAGAGGGTGGTGGCCGGCGGAGTGATGCTCATCCTCGTGGGTGAGTGCGTTGATGCTCGTTGCTGCTCATCCTCGTGGATGAGTGCGTTGATGCTCACCCGCGTGCCGCGCGCTCGCCCAGTGAAATCAACACGGTGCGAGTCGCAAGGTTCTTGATTCAGGAGGGTCCTGGCCACGTTTGCCGCGCACGGGGTGTTGGGGGGTGGGCGACGGCGATGTCGCTGCGCTCGCAGTGCAGGAGTCAGTGGCAGTCGAGGTCGGCTGGGCAGCAAGTACTGAATGATGATGATGATGATCGATCGGGACGCGCAGTGACACAGACACCCATCGATTCACGTGGAGATCCATAGACTCGCAGGAAGACACATAGACTCGCACAGAGACACAGATATAGAGAACCCCCCGAAGAGCCGCACAGAGACTCACATAGAGACCAAGACGACTCATAGAGAGAGCCATCGACTCACATAGAACCCTGGTGGCATTCCAAGGTCGTGACTGCTGCTACGTTTCTTCACAGCTGCTTTGTGTGTTTAGTTTGTTATCCTTCCCCCGCACCTCCGATGAGCACGGTTGGCTACGTACGGTGCGAAAGAAGTTCAACACACATACAGACGTGTGCGAGTGGCGATATCACGCGAGACTTTACGAAGACGACGATGGTGGATGATGATGATGATTATGATGGGATTGCGAGCGACGGCCTAATGACCTATACTAACCTCACGACCGTAACCCTGCAGGCCTGTGCACCCTGGTGGCCACCACGTGGTTCCCCGTGGGCACGCACAAGGAGAGCCTCAAGGGGGTGGTGAACTTTGGCTACTCGCTCTTCGCGGGCTGGGTGGGCACTGCGCTGGCCATCGTGAGCGGCGCGCTGCTCTGCTGCTGCTCGGGCGGCAAGGAGGAGCGCTACTACGCCTACCCGGCCACCGCCACCGCCACCGCCGCCGTCGCCGCCACCGCCAGCAACAACGTCGGCCCGGCCAGCCACGCCAAAAGCTCCCACGTGTGAGCCCGGCGCGTCGGAGAGGAAAGCGACTGTGGCGCGACCCGGAGAGGCGCTCGCTTCTCTCTCTCTCTCGGTTTCTGAGTTCGTGGCCCCGTGTTCCCGAAGCCACGCGAGAGCCACATTTGTGAAGTGTACCCCAAACATGTATCCATCTCGCCCACCTGCCCAGTGTTGTTTTGTACCCAAGCGAGAGGCACATTTATACAGTGAAATTTTTGCAAAGTGTACCCCAAACAACCCAACCCAGTGGCATTTTTCCAAAACGTACATAATTTGTACACGACCCAAGGGAACCTTTCGTTGAATGTTCCCCATATCAATGCGGTGTGTCCCTTAGCATAGGGGACTCAAAAAGAGAAACCGACCCAACCGCGCCTTGACAAAGAGTCTCCTTTGTGCCTGGGCGACTCAGCGTGGACAACGTCTCGCAGCTTCATTGTGGAACGGCCCTGTTCTCCAGCTTGTAGGACGCGACGCGGTGTCAAAGGAGCTCCGCATATCCCGTCTCACTCGCACGCTCGTGTTAAAATGCAGCGGAATAAAGTGCGTCTTACAATCCGGAGAATACGGCAATGCGCGGATGTAACGCTGCAGCTCTCCGTTGCTCAGATCTACCGCCAACCATAAAACCGGTTCCGCTTCGCACAGCGCGTCGCGTTCTACGGGGCCAGCACCGGCGCGTTGCAGACGCTGCAGCGATAACGATAATCGATAACGATAATCGATAATGATCATCGATAATGAGCATCAATGATCGTTGGCGCCGGCGTTGAGAATACAAAATAACGAGCAGAGAATTCGCCTCCTTCGCGTCTGTACCCTCCACCCTCCACATTTTTTATTGAAATACAAATTTTAAATTTAAAAAAATTAGATTTTTTTATTGGGCCAATAATAAGTGTTTTAGAAATCCCGTAAGCCACTTCGTCTTCTGGGAGTGCATAACTCAATCGGCCATTGATTGGTTCAACACAATCAGAGTGGATTAGTAGCGATTGGTTCCACTGGATGTTTAAACCGGTTCGGAGTTTTGCTTGCGTTGAACCGCAATCTACTTTATTATATATACAATGTGTGTGTGTTGTTTATGGAGGGGAATGTGTTTGGGTCGTAATGTCTGCTTATTTGTGTTGTTCGGTTAGGGCGACTGTTGCCAGCAACTCGCAATCCGCGGCCCCCCATCCCACACCCTACAGGGTAACGGGGCCTCTCTTAGCACAGTGTTAGGGTTTGAGTCCGGGTTAGGGTCTGACTGCATTGGGGACACCAGTCGACCAATCATGAATCGACGAGCCCAGCGGGTGTCCAAACTGTGGTTGCGCGAAGGGCGCTCGAGAAATCGTCCGTGGAACTGTGGCAGATGCCACGACGTTCAGTCGCTCTCACTTGGAAAACATCATTTTGTTGTTGTTGTTGGTGGTGGTGGTGGTGGTCCATTGTGGGATTACGGTTGACCCGCCCACACGGACAGGTCCATCAAGGTTTGGAAACCCCTTCGGTGAGACTGTAACGGTTCGAATCGGGGCTGAGATCAGAGTTGATTGATTGGGCCAATACAAGCTTGGCAATTTTAGTTGCGCGCGCGTGTATATATATATAATGTGTGTCATATAAACTAGCAAAGACCGTGATAGTGCTGTTAGCGAGCACCTATTATTAAGGCCGACACGGCACACCCGAGGGGTTGGTGTGGTCAGAACCAAGCTCGGCTACCATTGCCCCCCTGTGCCGAGGTTCACGGCGCACGTCGGAATGTTTCTTTGTGTCCCAGTCGAGCCTAGGGAGTGTCAGGAAATGTTTGTTCAGTTAATTGGCCACCACTGATGTTAGCCGTGGCCGGGATTTGAACTCGGGTCGCCGATTTTGAAGCGCATAGCGCTAACCGCTACACTACCGCTCCCCACGTACACGCACAGACTAACACTAACACACTAACACACACACACGTCACCCCACTGCACACACAGCTCTGTCTCTAACAGTTGCGCAAACAAACATACACACACGTGTTCACTCGTACACACACACGTGTACACACACACACGTGTACACACACACATTTGTACACGCACACGTGTGCACTCGTACACACACGTGTACACACACACGTGTACACTCGTACACACACGTGTGCACTCGTACACACACACGTGTACACACACACACGTGTACACACACACACGTGTACACACACACGTGTACACACATTTTTACACACACACGTGTGCACTCGTACACACACGTGTACACACACACGTGTACACTCGTACACACACGTGTGCACTCGTACACACACACTCGTACACACACACGTGTACACACACACACACGTGTACACACACACACGTGTACACACACACACGTGTACACAAATACACGTGTACACACACACACGTCATCCCCGCCTGTACCCGCCGGCCCTCTCGGAGTCACGGCGGCGGCTGTCGTCTCGTCGCGCGCACCTCGTCACCACCTCGTCGTCATCACCTCGTCGCACTCGTCAATAAACGGCCTCGTCACGTTACCTCCTCGCTCTGTTGCCTCCTTGTCCGTTGCCTTTGGCCACACTTCGGAGGTGCTCCGACGAGGCGGCCCCTGCGTGGTGGGCGCTCTGCCCGGGGCCACGCCGGATCCACCACCCGGGGGACGTGCACGGCAAGGCGCTCCCTCGGGCGGCGCGCTCATTGTGTGCGCTGCCGAGACGAAGAAACCTCTGGGCTGCGTTGTCGCCAGCAGCGCTCGACTCGTCAACAAGTCCACCCCGACCCAATTGTCTCATCAGCTTCAGCGCCTAAATGAGCTCATTCGCTTCATGGCCCTCGACGTTTTCTATGGGTCTCTGTGTACTGTGTCTCTGTGTCTCTGTGTGTCTCTATGGTTCTCTAAGGGTCTCTGTTTACTGTGTTTCTATGTGTCTCTATGGTTCTCTATGGGTCTCTGTGTGTCTCTATGTGTCTCTATGGGTATCTGTGTGTCTCTGTGTGTCTCTATGGTTCTCTATGGGTCTCTGTGTACTGTGTCTCTGTGTGTCTCTATGTGTCTCCATGGGTCTCTGTGTGTCTCTATGTGTCTCTATGGAGTCACGATAGGGTCCGTAGTGTTGGGGCGTATGGCCACAATCGCACGACTGCGGCTGTGTCTTTAAGGTGTCCGTGATCCTGTGGAGGTGCGGGTTGGTGGATCACGCGGGGAGTTCTGCAGTTGCCTCGAACTCGCCCAGTGAGCTGCTGGGGATGGTGGGGTCAGGAGGAGTGGCGTGGTGAGGTGAGGCGTGGTGAGGTGTTGCGGGGTGAGGAGTGAGTGTGAGCCAGGCGGCCGAGTTGACGAGATATCCGTTTATTGAGTTCTGCAGTGCAGGTTACATCAGCAAGAAGACCCGCGAGTAGAAACAGGTACAAAATTAGTAGAACGCCACAATATACACACCTTGAGCTCTCTGGGATTACAAAACGCTCCCAAATATAGGGGGGGGGGCAGGGAGGGAGTGGCGCAGGGCCCCCGCCCCGACACTCACCTGCCCAGCCCGACCCTCACCTGCCCAGCCCGACCCTCACCTGCCCAACACTCACCTGCCCAGCCTCCAGCCCGACACTCACCTCCCAGCCCGACCCTCACCTGCCCGACACTCACCTCCCAGCCCGACCCTCACCTGCCCAGCCTCCAGTCCGACCCTCACCTGCCCGACACTCACCTCCCAGCCCGACCCTCACCTGCCCGACACTCACCTGCCCAGCCCCCAGCCCGTCACTCACCTGCCCAGCCCGACCCTCACCTGCCCGACACTCACCTGCCCAGCCCGACCCTCACCTGCCCGACACTCAGTGCTCCCCCGACTCACAACGACGACGGTCAATGGCAAACGCGCTCGCGGCAACAACAACAACACAACAATAATAATACAAATAATAATAACGACGACGACGACGATCACGACGATAACGCAGTGTTAACAGGCAGGCGCGTTCCCTGGCGACGGTGTAGGTTAGGCGATGATTAGGAGCCGATTCGTGGTGACTTGGTGGTGGTGGTGGCGAGGGGGGATGGATGAGTGAATTTGGGGGGCTGTCCCAAGCCCCCCCCTCCAACCTCAACACCCTCGCGTGGCTAGCGACGGGCAGAGGGGGGAGGCTGCTTGGGACAGACTCTCGATGAAGAACGGCCCGGACATGGCGTCATCCCGGCTGGGTCGTGCCGGGCGCCTCGACTCCCAAGGTGGACGGCGCGGCAGTGGCGGCAGGGACAGCCCCACGGCTACAATCAGCTGGGCTCGATCCCCAACTACTCGGGATGCCCTCCCGTATGGAGGATGCACTCCCCCCCCCACCCTCCTGGTCTGCGCACGGCTTCCCTGCGGGTTCCTCGGGGAGTTTTTCTCCCACGGCCAAAAGTGACAGGACCCCCCCCACCCCCCACCGGACGACGACTGTCGAGACCGGGGTTGCTCATAATCCCCCCACCCCTCCCCCCCAACAGCGTCCCCCACGGCACCTCCGATCCGCTGTGTGCCAGAGGCGCCGAGCTCCTTGGAGGGGGACCGACTGCCCCCCCCCCCCCGAGCTCCAAACTGCCGCGCGTCCACTCGGAGCGACTTCTGCGGAGTGAACGCAGCTCCATAGACACCGCGTCGCATCTTACACTCCCCCCCGCGCGAGGAGCGGTGGCGTAGTGGTTAGCGCACTCGTGCCACGAACCCGGCGAAGCCGAGCTCGATTCCCGGCCACGGCTGACGTCAGTGGTGATTATCGCGACCGGTACGTGGGGTGTGTAACCATTGGCACTGGGAGAGACAAAGGCGGCCGGGCGTGGTGCTGGCCACCACACCACCCCCTCGTGTGCCGTCAGGACTTCACAGGTGCTTGCTAATGGCACTTGCCCCAAAGAGCCGTTTCGGCTTACAAAGGGGCTCTTTGTCCGCGTGTGCGCTGTGTGTGTGTGGAAATGAGTGCGTATCGGCGTGCGCGTCATTAAAGAATTAAAATTTAATCATCAGTGATTTAACGATTCAACCTCTCCACGATTCGATCGACCAATCGATCCTTTGCGGTGCGTGTAGAATCTACAGTGGTATGAATATATAATCTATAGTGGTATAAAAAACATGAGTAAAAAATAATCAACTCTTACGCAGACGATTCTATGAATGCACCGTGGGCATAAGAATCGATTTTAACCGATGAATCGATGCGTCCCTCCTGATGACAAATTTCCCCATCCGTCGTGCACGTCAATCATGCGCATCCGAGCTGCACATTTACAGAGCGTACCCAAAAAAACACGCGCATCACCCCCCCCACCTCACCCCCATTCCACTATGCACAGTGCACCTAGACGCTCGCTAACCAATAAAAACGCGCATGGGCCTGCCTGATTTTTATGGAGGGAAAAAAACATACAAGAGGCCAATTGTATATTTTTCTCCTTCCCTTTAAGGCGACAGTGTTGTTACCGACACGGAACGTGTTGAGTTTATTTTTTGTTAATTGTGCTTGTGCACCAATGCAGTGTCACAAAAAAATATCAATTACATTTTATTGGGTGCACTTTGTAAATGTGTAGCTGCTAAGAACACTGGATCAGCATTCACAATGAGGAATGGGTGGAGCCAGCTGGAGCCAGGTGGAGCTTGGAGTAATTGGGTGGAGCAGTTGGAGCTGAGAGGTCTCCGTGTGGCATCCAGGAACCCAAGGGGAGCGCTCCACGCATATGACCCTGCACCACCAGGCACCACGAGCAGAATCATCAGTGTGTGTGTGAGAATGTGTGTGTGCCAATATTTGTGTATGTGGTCATGCAGTCTGCATGCCCAGCCACCGCATGCCTAAACAGCTTTTGTTCGGCCGGAATAGAGGGGGCTAAACGGACGCAGCACGGACTAGAGAAGAGATGTAGTGATGTTGTACAGGAGGATGTGGAGCTGAGTGGAGTTGCCGATGGCTGGTACCAGCGGTGTCAAGATCGGCCTCTGTGGAAGAGGCTCATGAAGGACGCTACTGGGCAGTTGGAGGAAGTCGCCTTCCAGCAACAACAGAGGGCTACACTCACAACGAGCACCAGGCGACTAAAACACAGCAAGCTGGCATAGCAGGGGGCACAGGTGGTGCATCGGCCACTCATCTCAGTCAGTCAACCCATGGCACCTGGGTCTGTCCCGTGACCTTCTGCCAGTGGGCGTTCGATACTTCACGTGGCCTTAACATGCACACAGCCTGGGACAAGCGCCATGGTGACTTCACCACCACTCGGGGCGAATGGCGGCTGCTGTTGTGTGTGAACGTGCGTGTACGTGTGCGTACGCGAGCGTGTGTGTAGTTGAGCGTACGTGTGTACGTGAGCGTACCGGAGCGTCACAGTGGGGGTGGTCAGCGCGAGGAGGAGCAGTGGAGCAGCGGGGGCCGGTGGAGGGCGTCAGCGAGGAGGTCCACGGGGTGGCCCCCCACCTCGAGGTCGCGCACGCAGCCCACGAGGCCCACGGTGGAGCCGGGCGGCAGGCGCGGCGCACGGCGCCGCTCCGCCGTACCGCCTGCACGGCACACGGCACGCGTTATCACGTGGCACGCGTCACGTGGTACATTGTCACACGGCACGACGTCACACGGCATGAGTCATCACACGGCACATGGTCACACGGTACAACGTCACAAAGCACATCATCACACGACACAATCAGTGGACGAGTGAGTGAGTTGGCGGATGAGTGGATGACACGGTTGGTGAGTGAGACAGGTGGATGCCACGGTTGGTGAGTGCACGAGCCAGTGACCGAGTTGGTGAGTGAGTGGGGGGTGTGAGTGGGGTCGAGTGAACGGGCAGGAAAGTGGACGTGCCGTGTGTGTCACGCGGTGTGTGTCACGTGGTGTGTGTCGCGGTGTGTGTCGCGGTGTGTGTCACGCGGTGTGTGTCACGCGGTGTGTGTCACGCGGTGTGTGTCACGCGGTGTGTGTCGCGGTGTGTGTCACGCGGTGTGTGTCACGCGGTGTGTGTCACGCGGTGTGTGTCACGCGGTGTGTGTCACGGTGTGTGTCACGCGGTGTGTGTCACGTGGTGTGTGTCACGCGGTGTGTGTCACGCGGTGTGTGTCACGTGGTGTGTGTCACGCGGTGTGTGTCTGCGTGCGGGGCGTGCAACGTGCCGAGCCAGAGGGCCCCGTCCGTGTCGAGCTGCGTGGCTCCGCCCGCGGCCGTCCCCGTCACGGCCTCCGCGTCTCCGACCTGCAGCCACCCGTCCTGCTGGTGCCTGCAGCACAGTACAGTGCAATAAACAGCAATATAGACAAAGATCCCCCATGTAGCCTTAACAGACTGTTCTGGCAAGTACTGTCAGCGAGCATCAATGAAGGCAGGCACGGCACACAAGGAGGTGGGTGGCCAGCACCAAGCCCAGCCGCCTTTGTCTTCCCAGTGCTGATGTTTACACAACGCAGCAGGTACTGATTTTAGACTGAGTCGACCTCAGAGAAGCCGAGGACCGGTTGGCCATGAGCGCGAATCGAACTCGGGTCGCCGGGTTCGCAGTGCAGCGCGCTAACCGCTGCCTGACCGCTCCCTACAATTGCAACATGGACACACACGCAGACCCAGAGCGGTTCACCACCGCCACTACCACGGAGGCCGCACGCGCCACCACCGCGCCACGTACCTCCAGGCCTTGATGCGGACCCAGGCCTTGGAGTCGGCGGGCAGCGGGGCGGACAGCAGGCCCGGGCGGGAGCCCAGGTACCAGGTGAAGTGCACGCGGCCGCCGCTCAGCGCGAGGCCCAGGTAATCGGAGCCCTCGCGGGCCTTGCCCTGCCACAGCAGCAGGCCCGGCCTGCCGCCGGCGCGCACGCTCAGCGCCAGCGAGTTGTTCTGCTGCGACTTCACGCTGCGCACGCACGCACACACGTGGTGACGCACACACACACACGCACACACGTGGTGACACACGCACACGTGGTGACACACACGCACACACGTGGTGACACACACACACGTGGTGACACACACGCACACACGTGGTGACACACACGCACACACGTGGTAACACACACGTGGTGACACACACGCACGTGGTGACACACACACACACACGTGGTGACACACACACACACACGTGGTTACACACACGCACACACGTGGTAAAACACACGCACACACGTGGTGACACACATGCACGCGTGGCGACACACACGTGAATACGGGGTGATGCACGCGTACGCGTGGCGACATTCCACAGGTATGTAAAGCATCGTATGATTAAGTCGTACCTGTGCTTGATTGCGTTGTAAAACTCCACGTGAGTTTTCCCATCGAACGCAATCGCGACGCTGTCGCTCTGATCCCGCTGCTCCAGGGCTGTTGGCGTAACCACAACAACAACGACAATTAAACACAACAACAACAACAACAAACAAATCCGGCGATTATCCTGCCGGAATTTCCAGTTTTGTCCCTTCGAAGGTCATTACTCTGGGGGGGGGTCAAGGGGCAGATGCAGAAATTAAATGGTGGCCGCACAAACACCACCACCACCACCGCGTCCACGGGCCTCACCGTTTTCACAGGTGCGGCCGGAGAACCCGCGCGGACACAGGCACTCGTAGAGCTCCAGCTGGGGCCGGCACTGCCCGCCGTTGCGGCACGGGTTCTGGCCGGACGTGCACGGGTGCTGCACGAAGTTGGTGATGTCCACGGCGGCGCGGTGCCCCTCGGTGAGGCTCGGCACGACCGTGCCGCCGATCGAGAGCTGCGGGGGAGCGAGCGCAGCGGAGGGGGAGAGGAGGAGGAGGAAGGTTCCTTCGTTGTCTGTGACGGTCGGCGGTTAAACCCTCGCGGGAGGGGCGTGGGGGAGGATGTACGACGTGATGGTCCATCCAGAACGGCATTCCAAGTCGGTGTTCTGGAATTGGTTTTGGTAGCGGGCGGAACGCGTTTGCTTGATACAGTACCGGCGTGTCCGCCACTACGTAGGCGGACACGTAGGCGGCCAGGCGTGGTGCTAGCCACCACCCCCTCGTGTGCTGTGCCGGCCTTCATAAATGCTCGCTGACAGCTCTTGCCCCAACAGTCTGTTCAGGCTACATGGGGGATCTTTGTTGTAAACCAGGGCACGAGCATCCCTTTGGCAAGGGCTAACAAACAAATCAAATCTGGTGGAGAAATCTCACGAAACCAACACAAACATCAACAAACCATTCCAGGAAGATTTCCTGAAAAGTATTTTTTTCCACCCATCCACATCCCTGCCCCCTTCACGTCTCACAAACATACAAAGACAAAGATCCCCCATATAGCCCGAACAGACTTTTGTTGGGGCAAGTGTTGTTAGCGAGCACCTATGCAGACCGACACAGCACACGGGGGGAGGGTGGGGGTGTGGACAGTAGCTCGTCCGGCAGATATTCGTGACACTGGTGTTGGCCATGAGCGGAGTCGGTGTACGGTACGTCCAGTAGACGTACAACCACAACTTTCCACCGATGTTAGCCAAACGTTTCCCAGGTGCCGTAATCACTGCACTTTACCGCAGGGGAGACAAAGGTGGCCGAAAATTTGTTCTGACCAGGCGCTCGCTAACAGCACCATCACCATCATCGGTCACGGCCATTAGTTTCCTGCTCACGGCTAACATCAGTGGCGGGCCGATATGAGACACGGTCCCGGACCTCCCCTAGATCGACTCGGCCTTAAAGTCCCGGCGTGGCGGGTGCGGCGCACCTGCTGGATGGCGCCTGTGAGCCCCGTGGTGATGGCGGCCGCCCGTGCAAACTTCTTAAAGTCGGGCGCTCCCCCGACGTAGAATGGCTCCTTCACGTTGAGTGACGTGTGGGGGCTCTATGGGGGGGCGGGGGGGGGGGGAGAGACAGGGGCACAGCATGGTCCGTGCGGTATTTGTGGATGCTTTAAGGTTGAGAGTGTTAATGCGATAGTAACGGGGGAGGCGGGAGGCGGGGGGGGCACGGTGAAGGGTCGTGACGACGATCCGCCGGGGACGCCGATCGCCCCGGACGGCCACTCCTCGGCTTCCGTGGCGCAGATTAAAAACCTCCGACGACAAACGCGACGGAAAATCCGCGGGTGGTTGGTGAATCTGGACGCTGACGCGGTCGCGTGTGTGCGTGTGGACGTGTGTGCGTGTTTGCGTGTGGATGGGCCGCGTGTCTGTGAGTGCGAGTCCATCCGTGCGTGTGCGTTCGTGCTCACCGGGGATTCCCCGGTGAGCGGGCGGCCCTGGTTGATGGTCATGGAGCCGGAGCGGCCGCTGCGCTGCACACGCACCACGTGCCACACGCCCAGCGGGAGCCGCTCGGCGCTCCTGCTCGTCACACCACGGCACGTGCACACGCACGCGGGCACACACACACGCACCACGCACGCGCACACGCACACGGGCATACACACACCACGCACGTGCACAAGCGGGCACACGCGGGTACACACACGGGCATACATATACGTGAGTAGACACATACAGAAAGACAAAGATCCCCATATAGCCGCACCAGGTACTAATCTTAGACTGAGTCGACCTAGGAGAGGCCCTGGACCAGTACAGATGATCGTCACCGGTATTGGTGGTGGCCTTGAGCGAGACTCAAAGCCAGCTTCCCACGTACACACAAGCGCGTACACACAGGCGCGTACACACAGGCGCGTACTCGCACACGGCAACAGCGGCACGCTCTGCTTGGCATGGGAAGCCGCCGACCGCCCCCCCCCCCCCCCCCGGTGTCCCTCGAGGCGGCAGCACCCCGCACCTGATGACGGCGGGGCCCTTGCCCAGGTCGAACTTGAACTCCAGGAAGCCGTTGACGAGGTTGAGGGACACAAAGTCCCCGCGCCCGTCCGTCTGGTGGCCGTTGTAGAAGATCATGCCGTCCTTCTCCTGGCTCAGGAAGGACACATCCAGCGTCAGCTTGCTCCTGCGGTGGAAGGGGGGGCGGGGGAGGGAGGGGGATTCGTCACCGTCGAGAGAAGAGAAGACGGCCGGCGTGGTCGAGACTACCGACGGAGTTGCGGCCGATGGCGGGAACCGCACGGCCGCCGCCAATTCCAGAACGCCGTTTGCTGGAATATTCCTCCTCCTCTCCCCCTCCTCGCTCGCTCCCCCGCAGCTGTCACAGCCGTCCCGAGCCTCACCGAGGGACACCGCTCGCGCACAGGAGCCGGATGGATCGTGGCATCGCGAGGCCGTGAGAGATGACGACGGCTTGGCGAGGCCTTCACCCGACCACCACCACGACGACGACGACGACGATGATGATGTGTGCGGGATGACGTGGCGGCTGGGATGCGAGGGCGACGCTTCCCGATGGCACGCGGGCGGCGGAGTAGCGCGCGTGCCCCCCCCCAACCCAGCCCCACTCACTGGTGCGTGGAGCTGACGGATTCCAGGCTCTCGCGCTCGATGTACGACGTGAGGCCGTTGAAGGCCGGGATGAAGGCCGCGGTCTTGTCCACCGCCACGTCTGGGAGGAGGGGACAGGGCACGTGAGCTGCGGCTCGCTCGCCACGCAAGTTAACGCGGAGCTCGACCGTAACCTCGGCGCCAGGGCCTCGGCCTGACTCGGTGGCACAGCTAAAAAGACAAAAAACCCCGTCGAGTCTTCAACAGACTGTCGGGGCAAATTCTCTCAACACGAGGGAGTGGGTGGCCAACACCACGCCCGGCCGCTTTTGTTTCCCCAATGCTCATGTTATTTGTGCATCGCACCAGGTACTCATTTGAGGCTGAGTCGACCTAGTGGATGCCCAGGACCCCGATCAGGTATTCATCACCGATGTTGGCTATAAGTGGGAATCGAACACGGGTCGCCGGGTTCGTGGCGCAGCGCGCCAACCGCCACGCCACCGCTCCGCGGAGCGACACGCACACGCACACACGCGCACGCACACACGCGTCACACACACACACACACACGTGCATACGCACGACCCGTGTCACACGCACACACACGCACGCACGACCCGTGTCACACACACACGCACACACGACCCGCGTCACGCACACACATGGGCACACGCGCACACGCACGACCCGCGTGACGCACACGCGCACACACGCGCTGCCCGCCCCCACCGCCCCCCCCACGCCCCGCGCACCTCGGTCACAGAGCTTGCCCTCGCGCCCCAGCGGGCACTCGCACTTGAAGCCGCCCTGCGGCACAATGAGGCAGCGCGACGCCGGGTGGCACGGGCTGGGCTCACACGCGCTGCTCGCGTTGGCACACGTCGGGCCTGGGGGGATAAACAAGAGGCGGTGGACGTGGTGGTGGACGTGGTGGTGGTGGTGGTTGCGGTGGTAGAGGTGGTGGTGGAGAATGCATGTCCGTGCATGGGTACATTTGAGTGTGAGGTGCAGTGTGCACGTGTGTGCATGTGTGTGTGTGTGCATGTGTGCGTGCGTGTGTGTGCGTGTGTGCGTGCGTGCGTGTGTCTGCGTGTGTGTGTGCGCATGTGTGTGTGCGTGTGTGTGCGTGTGTGTACGTGTGTGTGCGCGTGTGTGTGTGTGTGTGTGCGTGTGTGTGCGTGTGTGGGCGCGTGTGTGTGTGTGCGTGTGTGTGCATGTGTGTGCGTGTGTGTGCGTGTGTATGCGCGTGTGTGTGCGCGTGCGTGTGTGTGTGCGTGTGCGCGTGTGTGCGTGTCTGTGCGTGTGCGTGCTCACCGGTGAACCCTTCGTGGCAGAAGCACTGGTACGCCTCGGCTTCCCTCATCCGGCACACGGCCTTGTTGCGGCACGGGTTGGGGCGGCACGGATTGTTGCCGCACTCCCCGATGCCCTGGCCGTACCGCACCTCGCCGCCCTGGATCTGCACAACGGCGCCAGCGTGAGCGCCGGCGACAACCGCCCCGTGGCTCGCAAGCGACGCGCAAGATCGCGAGGTCATATCCTGTTCAGGGGCGGTTGACTCAGCCAAACATCATCATCATCCCTCCGGGGTGGATAATACGAGTACTACTTTGTGGGGAAGTCAACAGCAGTTATCCTGTGGATATACTCAACCCCATCATAGGCATGTGGAATTTACACCACTGGCTTTGCAGGGCTGTAAACGGGAGATGAGCACGAATGTGTCAATGCTCATTTCAGCCAGGAACTCACTCCTGTCTTGTTTCCACACACACACACACCACACCACACGCACACGCACACACGCACACACATGCGTGTGTGCGCGTGTGTGTGCGTGTGGAACTTCTCTCCCACCGTAAATAGCCAACCGTGCTCATCGGAGGCGCGGGGAAGGGACGACAAACACATTCAGACGCATTCCCATCATGCACACACACAAAAGGCAAAGATCCCGCCCCGTTTCGCCTCAACACCCTGTTGGGGCAAGTGCTGTCAGCGAGCGCCTATTGATGCATACGCGAGAGGGCGGGCGGCGCGAGCGACGCTACCTGCAGGTTGTAGGCGACGTCGTTGACGAGCAGCTGAGTCAGGCAGCCCGTGAGTCCCCGCTGCACCAGCGCCTGCTGCTTTACACTGGTGGGGGGCAGCGATGGGTGGGGGGGGCAGTGATGCCGGGGGGGGGGCAGGGGACGCAGAGGGATTGGTGGGGCAGCGATCGGAGGTCTGTGCAGCCGTGACAATTTGTTTTGTATGCCACGGTTTGCCGGGTGCAAGGCCCGAAAAGGCGCAAGCTGTGAAAAGCGGCCAGCAACAATTGGTACCATCAGGGCTATTGTCACCATCGTTGTCGTTGTTGTTCTCAGAGCGAGGGGGAGGGAAGAACGCACCAGGGCTTCGCTTGAGCCGGCACACCACATCCGGCATGCCGCTCGCCTTGTGCACGTGGCTACTGGTTTACGACGCGGTGAGAAATTAAGGCGCAGTAACCACCCCTCCAGTCCACCAACCCACACCGCCCCCCCTCCCCGCCCCAGGCCCCCCGCCCCCCGCGGTTTGCGCTCACGTTTGCATGACGTTGGCGGGTGCCCCCCCTATGAAGAGGTCGCTGTCGAGGTTGAGACCCTCGGAGCCGGGGGGGCTCTCTCCCTCCACAGGGACCTCCTTCTCCACGGAGAGGGAGCCGGTGCGCCGGGTGCGCTGCACTTCCACGCGGAACCAGCGGCCCAGCTGCAGCCTCAAGCGGCTCGTGATCACCGCCATGCCCGAGCCCAGGTTGTACCTGAGAGAGGGGGGGGGGGGGGATGACGAAGATTGTCAGATGCGCTTCCGAGGCCGTCTGGAACGCTCTTTCCTTCCGATATTAGGAGGCCATTGGAGCTGTGCACTTTGAAATCGTCTAGAATCTAGATTGCCAAACTCGTTTCTTCACAGCTGCTTTGTGTGTTTAGTTTGTTGTCCTTCCCCCGCACTCGCGATTAGCACGGATGGCGACGTGCTGTGTGAAAGAAGTCAAATCTGCATACAAAAACATGTTCATAGTCAAAGCTGTTCATTCACAGATTTTACTTTCGCGAAATTCGATTATTCTCGGCGTTATCTTTATAATATCTCTCTCAGAGTGAGAATCTTTATTTGTTCTGGACGAGGAATCCGATGAGCTATGAAGCTCTTTCTCACAGATGTCCAGTAGAGGCGGGTCAATGAGTTAAAACAACAACAACACACACAACAACACAACAACACATATCAACGATATGAGTGCAAAGCAGATAAAAGGTAGGCAAGGCACTAAAAATAAGTGAATAAGTGACTACATAATTTGCTCCCGATTTTTCAACACTAAAAACGCGCCTTCTAAGTTGAAAATTAATGTCTTTATAAACCTTACCTCTGATTCACGCGGTTGGCTACGCATGGCGCGAGACAAGGTCTACACAGCACGTGCAAGCCTGGGCAAGGCGCCACGTGGCCTGCAACCGAGCACTGTGGAGGCGAGGGTTGGCGGGTCACCGTGCACATTTTAATTCATTTGCATCGAATAAAAGTTGTTTTTTTGCGGGGGGTGGGGGGTCAGGGGGGCTGGGTGGTCGCTGACCGCAGCTGGACGACTCCGTTGACGAGCGCAATCGAGAAGAAGTCGCGGACTTGCGCCTGGCCGCTGTAGAGCAGGAGGCCCGAGGGCCGCATCGAGCGGAACAGCAGGCTCACGCGCACCGTGTGGAAGGCCTCGATCGGTTCGAAGGCCAGGAAGGAATCTCCACCGAACGCCGGCTGGTGGTAGTGGACCTCTGCGGAGCACCGCCGACAGTGGGGTTGGAACGTCGCGTTCGCAACGCAAACGTACACAAACGTGAATCCAGCATCGGCTTGCGGGCGCCGCTCACTAAAGGCGCTGTTAAAAGCTATACGGGGAGTCTTTGTACGAGTGTAACGATCTGTGCATGTACAACTGTATCAGGCGATTGGGGCCACTGCCAGAAACGTCGCCTATGATTTTAATAATAATTTACTATCATTTTAATTGTAAGGCGACTGCCAATGCAGTATGACCTATGAACGCATCAACGAGGGGAACAGGGGGTGCTGGACCTGCCTTGTTCACAGACGGCGCCGCCACGCCCGACGGGGCAGATGCAGGTGTAACCCGAGGGCTTCTCGGGGCGGCACTGGCCCCAGTGGAGGCACGGGTTGGTGGCGCAGTCGTCGCTCTCCTGCGGCCCGGGCCGCCGCTGCTTCGGTGACGGAGCCGCGGACGGCGCCGCCGGAGGAGCGGCGGAAGGAGCGGGAGGAGCGGGAGGAGGAGCGCGCTGCCGAGTTACCGCGGAGACGGTCGCCGCCGCGGCCGGGAGCGAGGAGACGGTGGCGGCCGCAGGGGGCGGCGTCGCTGGGAGGGGGAGAGATGTCGCGCGTCGGTCGCGGGGATCTCCGTGTCTGACCTGGTGAGCGCTGGGCGCAAAATCCCATACGATCCCCCGCGATCCCCCGCGATCCCGCGCGATCTCCCACGATCCCGTGGCGTGCGGGCCGTACCGGGCGTGAGGAGCGAGACGTGTCCGTGCTCGGGCTTCGTCACGACGATGCCTCTCTTCCTCTGCGAGCGCAGCACCTTGAGCAGCGCCCTCCGCACCGCCTCCGCCGAGACGCGCGAGTCTGGGGGGTGTGGAGACGCGGGGCGCAGGGTCAGAGTGCGAGCGCTGCTACCGCTACCGCTGCTGCCACCACTACATAAAATCACCACTACTCTTACTACGACCGCTGGCAACGCTTATTCCCGCACCACCACCAACACCACCATTAACGCCACCACGAAAAACCACAACCACCATCGCAACGACCACCACCGCCAGTGGAGCATTCTCGCTGTGCTATCCTGTGCCGCGTCCGATTGGCTCTTACTGGGGTCAAAGTGCAACTCCACGTCGGCCTGGACGTGGCCGTTGGAAGGCGCAGACGCGAAGCGGAGCACGCGGGCGCTGCGGAACCATTTTTGCACCTCCGAGTGCAGCAGCATGTCGCTGAGCTGCACATGCAACACACAAAGACAAAGACCCCCGCCCACAGGGTAGCCTTGACAAACCGTCGGGGCAAGTGTTGTTCGCGAGTAGCACCTATGAAGGCTGGAACGGCACATGCGGGGGATTGGTGGCCGGCACCACGCCTGGCCGCCTTTGTCTCTCCATTGGCGATGTTTACACACCGCACCAGGTACTCGTTTAAGGCTGCATCGACCTGGAGGTAGGCCCAGGACCGGTTCAGATATTTGTCGGCAGTGTTAGGTGTAAGAGGGACTCAAACTTGCGTTGCTTGGTTCAACGCACAGTGCCCTGACCACACACGCACACGCACGCTCACACGCATGCTCACACGCGCGCACACACGTGCACGCGTGCTCACACACACGCAACGCTCACACGCATGCTCACACGCACACACGCACACGCACGCTCACACGCACACGCATGCTCACACGCACATGCACGCTCACACACGCGCGCACACACGCGCACGCGCGTGCACACTCACGCCGTTCTCGGTGCTGCTCCGCATCTCCGCGAACTGCTCGGACGTTGGGTCCGAGAGCCACGGTCCGAACGTCGTCTCGGTGCCCTCCAGCTCCTCGATGGACAGCTGGGCCAGCACGACGCGCGTCGCTGCACACGACCGCGCACGTGCACACACACACACATACGCGCACACACAGACACGCGCACACGCGTACACACACACACGCGCACACATACGCGCACACCGCCACGGCACACGTTCACGTGAAGACGTGCTCACTGACGCGGCAAGCAAGTATGCGAAACTGGTTCGCTCACTCGTTCGCACACTCACTCATCATCACCCTCTTACCTCTGCGCGTCGTCCCCAAGTTACCCCCAACACGTTGTCACGTCACCACCACGTGACCACCACCACGTCACCACCACGTGACCACCACGTCACAACCACGTCACCCCCACGTCACCACCACGTGACTAATACGTGACCCCCACGTCACCCCCACGTGACCCCCACGTCACCACCACGTGACCCCCACGTCACCCCCACGTGACCTCCACGTCACCACCACGTCACCCCCACGTCACCCCTACGTGACCCCCACGTCACCACCACGTCACCACCACCACCACGTCACACCCACGTGACCCCCACGTCACACCCACGTCACCCCCACGTCACCACCACGTCACACTCACGTCACCACCACGTCACCACCACGTCATCCCCACGTCACCCCCACATCACCACCACGTGACCCCCACATTGCCGCGTGGCCCCCGGCACCTGGGCAGGTGGAGGCGGCGGGGTCGGTGGCCAGGGTGCGCCCATCGGGGCAGCAGCCGAAGGCGGAGTTCTCGCAGGAGGAGCGCTCCGCGATGGAGCCGTTGGCGGCCGGCACGGGGACCGGCTTCACCGCTCCTTCCCCGGTGGCTACCGGTGCGGCGCGGGGGGAGGGGGGCCGGTGCAGAGACAGAGAGAGATGCGAGCGGTGAACCACAAAAGTGGCCGTGTGAGATCGCATTTTGAGCCCGGTAGATAATCTATAATTAGTGTCCCTGTGATTATTGTTATGGTTGTGATCTGACGATGGCACAGAGGCAAGAACGATTACACAACACAAAGAGACCGGCACGGAGACACAATCACAACTGTGCCGACTGCCACCACTGTGCGGGACTGTCTGTGTGTGTGTGCGCCGCTGTGTGTGCGCCGCCGTGTGTGCGGCGCTGTGTGTGTGCCGCCGTGTGCGGTCGCACGCCGGGACGCGCTGTCTCACCCGTGCCGCTGGCTGTGCCGCCACCGCCGCCACTGCCCTCCTGGTCCGAGCCATCGCCGCTGTTCGAGCCACTGCCCTCCTCCTCCGGTGGGGGCAGCGCCTCCACCTCGTCCTGGCACACGGCGCCGGTGACACCATCAGTATCGCCGACGTGCGTCTCTGTATGTGCGTGTGTCTCTGTATGTGTGTTTCCGTGTGCGTGTGTCTCTGTATGTGTGTTTCCGAGTGCGTGTCTTCATGTGTCTCCATGTGTCTGCGCATGTGTGCCTACGTACGTGTCTCCGCGTGCGTCTCCGTGTATCTCCGTATGTCTTTGTCTCCGTGTGTGCGTGTGTCTGTGCGCGTGCATCTTTGTGTCTCTGTGCATCTCCGTGTGTCGTTCTCACCTCTTTCTGCTGCCCTATGGCCGCGGTGCTGGCGCCGTGCGGGGAGGCGGTGTGGGAGGCCCTGGCCGCCGGGGTGGTGGGGGTCCAGGGCGCCTGCTTGGGCAGCGTCACCACCGCGGAGTGGGGGGGGCGGCCCGTGGTGGGGGGAGGCAGCAGCGGCCCCACGTGGGGGTCCCCCACTTGGAACGGGGGGACGGGCTCTGCGGACGACGACAGGGAGACGCTCACTGTGACAACGACGGTGGCGGCGAACGTGATGGCGACGGTGGAGCGAGCGAGTGTTTTTTAGTGAGCAAGTGTTTTTGAGCGAGCGAGTGTTTTTGTGAGAGAGTGTTTTTAGTGAGAGAGTGTTTTTAGTGAGAGAGTGTTTTTAGTGAGAGAGTGTTTTAGTGAGAGAGTGTTTTTAGTGAGCGCGTATTTTGAGTGCTTTTGAGCGAGTGTTTTTAGTGAGCGAGCGAGTGTTTTTAGTGAGCGAGCGAGTGCTTTTAGTGAGAGAGTGTTTTTAGTGAGAGAGTGTTTTTGAGCGAGTGTTTTTAGTGAGCGCGTATTTTGAGTGCTTTTGAGCAAGCGAATGTTTTTAGCGAGCGAGTGTTTTTAGTGAGAGTGTGTTTTTTGAGCAAGCGAGTGTTTTTAGCGAGCGAGTGTTTTTTGAGCGAGCGAGTGTTTTTAGCGAGCGAGTGTTTTTGACGGAGCACGCCGCCTGCGAGACCTGGGCAGGGCCCGTGGGACGCGATGGAAATGGCTGTGCCCTGGCGGCATGCGATGGTGAAGAGCTGGCACCGATCGGCGTACGTCACCCCGTCCGTGCCGCACACCTACACGCATGCACGCACACGCGTGACTGCAGGCGCGCGCACGACAGAGCGTGGCTTGACGACGACATGACAGGTTGCTGCCAGAAAGAAGCGGCCACTACTTGAGCACATTGGCACTGCAAGGCAACTGACGAAACGCCCAGCGGACACCTACGGGGCTATCTGCCCACGGATTGTGATGACGACGGCAATCACGCGAGCAAGCGGGGGTCGGGGGGTCGAGGGGTTGGGGGGTGGCGGCGGCTCACCCTGGTGAGGTTTCGCTCGGAGCACGCGGTGGGGCACTCGCAGCGAGCGGCGCCGCCCTCCTCCACGCACACGGCGCCGAAGCGGCACGACAGCAGCCCGCAGGAGGCCGGGGTCGGCTCTGCGGGTCACGCGCACGGTCGTGGACACCCACGTAGTCACTTAAACAACTACACAGAATTACTTGAGACAGCACAGACGAGGCAGAGGCGTATACACTGGGAGACGCACAATAATCAGGTCTAGAATCGTGACCTCGAATCGCTACAAGTCACCGGACTATGGAACGCCAGAATCGTCACGGGTGTTCCCGCACACGCGTGCCTCACACAGACGGTGGCTGCTGCCCTTGAGGGCCCTGCCCCAACTCCGACCACCCCCCCCCCCCCCCCCCCCCACCGCTGCTGCCCCCCTCCCCGTACCTTCCCGGCAGCCCGCGGGCCCCATGGCTTCCCCGGGCGGGCACTGGCTGCATTTGGGCCCCAGGATGCCGTCCTTGCAGGAGCAGCGTCCGGTCATCTGCTCGCAGTCGTCCCGCACGGAGCCGGCTGGGTCGCACTTGCACGCTGGGCAGCAACGGGGGCAGCAGAGCAACCGCATCATCATCGTCACCTCCATCATCATCATCGTCGTCACCTCCACCAACACCATCATCATCATCATCATCAGATCCACCGCCTACACCACTATCACCACCTTAACGACCACCATCATCACCTCCACTACAATCACCATCATCACCACCACCACCATTACCACTTCAACAACCACCATCATCGACTCCACCACCATCATCACCTCCACAATCATCATCATCAACACCACCACCACATCACCGCATCACCGCATCACCGCATCACCACCACCACGCCTCCGTACGTATGCATCCGGGCTGCTCCTCCACCACGATGCCGCGGAAGTTCCAGAAGCTGGGCTCGCAGCGGTCGCACTTGAGGCCCCCGACGCCCGGCTTGCAGGAGCACTGGGCCGTCGCCGCGTCGCAGCTCGCGCCGTACGCGCCGTGCCGGTTACACGCGCACGTGCCTGAGTGGCCACACGCGAGGGACACGTGCGAGGGCGTGTGCGTGAGCGTGCAGCGTGGCACGAGTAAAATTTCACAAAACGATTTGGATTCACTAAATACAACCGTCACGTACAACACGTCCCGCGTGACAGCTCGAGCGTGACGCCCCGTGCGTCGCGTCGTGTGCGCGTCACGTCGCGTGCGCGTCACCGCGAGCCCCCACTCACTGGGGCAGCCAGCGAGCCCCACGCCGAGGGCAGCTGTCTGGTTGTCGGGGCAGCAGCCGTACACCGATTGGCTGCAGTGGGCCACGGGGTCGGCGGAGGTCGTGGGAACGGGGGCAGGCTCTGTGGGGGGGTATGGGGGAGGAGTTTCGCGTGCGTCAACGTGCGTGAACACGCGCACACAAACCCATACGCACGCACACTCACACGTGCACCCAAACCCATACGCACGCACACTCACACGTGCACACAAACCCATACGCACGCACACTCACACACTCACACGTGTGCAGCACAGCTTCGCGCAACGGGGCACTATTCCATGTTGAGTCTGGAGAGATGAAGGTTTGTTTGGTAATTTGTTCCCCACAATCCTCTGCAATGACAAATACAAAGACTCCGAGTATAGCATTGAACAGATTGTTGGGCAAGTGCTGTTAGCGAGTACCTATAAAGGTCGGCACGGCACACGAGGGGGTGGGTGGCCAGCACCACGCCCGGCCGCCTGTGTCTCCCCAGTGATGATGTTGTAGACTGAAACAGGTACTTAAGGCTAACACTACCTAGAAGAGGCCCAGGACTGGTTAAAATATTCGCCATTTGTTGATCGTGAGCAGAAAGCCTGATTCGCCGGGTTCAAAGTTTAAGCGCGCTAACCGCTGCGCCACCACTCCGCATGTGCATTTACAGTACACGCACACGCATGTGCATATACAGTACACGCACACGCATGTGCATATACAGTACACGCACACGCATGTGCATATACAGTGCACGCACACGCATGTGTGTATACCGTACATGCACACGCATGTGCGTATACAGTACACGCACACGCATGCGCATATACAGTACACGCACACGCATGTGCGTATACAGTACCCGCACACGCACGCACTCACCCCTGATGCAGAGTCCGAGCCGTGCTAAGGTGAGGTCCGTCTGCCGGTCGCAGCGCGCCTTCTTCAGCTCGCACTCACTGCCGTACGTCACCCCGTCCGAGCCGCACACCTGCAAGCACGCATGAAGACAAAGATCCCCCGTGTAGCCTCAACACACCGTCGGGGCAAGTGCTGTCAGCGAGCAGCACCCACGAAGGCCGACGCCGCAAACGACGGGGTGGGCGCCCAACACCAGCGGCGATGTTTACGCACTGGCTACTCATTTGAGGCTGAGTGCACCTAGGGGAGGCCCACGACCAGTTAAAATAGTCGTCACCGGGAATTGAACTCGGGTCGCCGGTTTCGTTGCGCGGCGTGGCGGGGGGGGGCCCTCACCGGGCTGAGCGCGACGCTGCGGCAGGCGAAGTCGCAGAGGCAGCGCGAGTCCTCCACGTCGTCGTCCCACTGGCCCCCGAAGCGCAGGCAGCGCTCCTCCAGGCACACGTCGCCCGACGAGCCCGAGCCCGACACGCCGCCCTCGCCCCCCTCCTCCTCACAGTCTGGGAACGCGCACGCAGCACACACGCAGCACGCACGCGCACGCAGCACGCATGCACGCACGCGCACGCAGGCACGAACAGACAGATCCGCACAGACACACATGCACGTACGGACGCACAGATGTACACACACGGACAAATGTACGTTGGGATATCGTCAGATTGATGGTGGCATGGACAGACAGACAGGAACCACTGGTTTTCGAAGAGAGAGCGCGACTGAGAGGCGCGAGATTAGCAGCGGCCACGCGGTGCTACCAACAATTGCCTCTATATATGAATGCGTTATCGGCCAATAGACGAGTGTTTACATGTTAGGAGGAAATCAGAGCACCCGGAGAAAACCCAGGCGTGTGAGGGAGAAACACTCTATCCCCGTACAACTGGAACAGGTGGAGTCCACATTTCTGCCACGGGGGCGATCCACCGACCCTTCATTGCCTCCACAGCGCTGCTGGATTATGGGCCAGGCAATTAAAATTGGCCAAGATAAATGAAGAACGCGACCCCCGGTGACCCCCGCCCCCCGTAGGACGAGGGCCTGCGGGGGGCGTACCGTCGCAGGCGCCGTCGTGGGTGACGTTGAGGGCCTCGCGCAGGCGGCAGGCTGTGGCGCGCAGCTCGCAGGCGCTGGGGTGCGTGCGCCCGTCGCTGCCGCACACGGGGGGGCCGCGCTCCCCCGGAGGGCACGGGGGGCACGAGCAGCGCCCCGACAGGCACACGGCGCCAAACGAGCACACCTCGCCGCCGCACGTCTCTGTCGGGGCGGGGGGAGGGGTGGGGGCGGGAGGGGCGTGCACGCATAGAGGCGTTGACGTGCGCGGACGCGCGGAGACACGGACACGCGGACACGCGGGAGTATACAAAAGCACGTACGCACACGCAGCGGACACGCGCCCTGACACATGGACGCCGCACACGCGCGCGCAGTCGCACAAGTGTGGACACGCAAATGAACATACAAACACGCGGGCACGCGTATCGACACATACACACGTGCTTGGGTTGGCTTTTGGACACGTGTACGCGTGGTGCCGGGGTCTTTGTTGCTCAACTGCATTGCAACTCGGAGCAACGTTGTGCATTCGCGAGACTCGGAGACTCGGCCGGTGAGGCCGCATCGAGCAGCTCCGTCAGAAGGACGACCACAGCCCAAGAGCATCGGCAGTGACGGCGGCTACAGCAGGGCATCGCGGGGAGGGAGGGGACGTGCCAACTAGCCAGCGCACGACGGGGCAGCGCATAGAAACCGCCCTCTGCCAGAGCAATGTGGAATTCCAGCACCGCGGGACACTTACTGCACTCGCCGCGCGACGCCACGGCGATGTGGCGCTGCTCCGCGCACGCGCGCACGTTCATGTCGCACTCGCTCGCGTACGTGCGCCCGTCCGTGCCGCACACGGGGCTGCGGGCGCCCGCGCACACGCCGGGGCACACGCAGCGCCCCGCCTCGCCGTCGCACACCGCGCCGAACCGGCAGCCCGAGCAGCGGTCTGCGCCGATCGGCGGTGCGGGGACGGCCGGGGTCGAGACGACAGGCCGGGTGGGCCGGGCGGGCCGGGCGGGCGAGGGAGGCGGGCGGGCGGGCGCGGTCCAGCGGGGGGTGGGGGGGGTCACAGCCGTGCAGCGTCACCGCCAAGGAGGGTCGGTCGTAACGGTGTCACGGAGTCGGGCAAACGGCCACACGCACGCACGCACGGACAGACAGACGAGCGGACGGGCAGTTAGACAGGCAGTTAAATAGGCAGTTAGACAGGCATGTAAGCAAGTCAGTCGTTCAGGCAGACGCGCAGACCCACAGTCAACGAGCTGGCCGCCTGGCCAAGCGGCCGGAATTGCATGGAAATTAAGAATCGCGAACTTGGCTGGAAATCAGGCAGGCGCTCTGCAGGTCATGTGCCTAACCAGGTGCCTAGTTAGGCAGGCACGCGGCTAGCCAGGCTCCCAGCCAGGCACCTTGCTAGTTCAGGCAGCCGGCCAGAGGCAAGGTTCATGGCACAGTTAGTACGGGAAACACAGCGGGAGCAGCAGTGCAACAGCTTAGGGTGTAAGCCGCGCCGTCGCGACGCGCAGAGAACAGAAAACAAAGCGGAGCGGCTCATGCGGAGACGCGCTGAGCTCAGGCCCACGATGGCATCTCCATCGCACCGGATCGCCGGCTCAGCCACTGGGTGAGATTTGCCAAAACACGGAGCGGACGCCGAGACCGCGGTTTAACGAGATGCGAACGGCGGGGACGTCACGGGAACACGCCGACGGGCACGAGCGAGCGGAGGCGCACCGTGGGGTGAGTGGGGGGGGGAGCGAAGGAGGAGCCGACGCCCCGCGCCGTATAATCGGGATTTACGGAGTAAACAAGCGCGGCCGGGCCGGGCCCCCGTCGGCTCGTAACTCACGGGGGTCGGGGGGAGACGACGTTTACGGTGCCTCCGCGCGGGCGCACCGGGGTCTGGTTTACGCGTCGCGGTCGGGCCGCCCGAGGGTCTGGCGACCGTGGCACCGGAGGCCTGAGCGCCGGGGGAAGGGCCGTCGCGTGCCGCCACCACCATCTCTGGCGGGCCACGCTTTGGGGGTTGCTTCAGGGGCCGCGTGGGCCGAGTCGCCGACGTCGAAACTCTGACTGAGGGGCCGTCGGTGGCCGAGCAGCGGCTTCTCACGCGACATTCGACAATCGTCGTTTGTCCATAATAGAGGTTTTCTCGTTTCTTGTTCCTAACCCGGTTTTTGACCGTGGAACCACGCGAGCCTTCGTGGGGAAGTCTATCTCGGAAGCGTTCCTGGGTACACCGCAATGAGTGAAACCCTCCTCGCGTGCCGTGCGTGCGGTGTGCCGCGTGCGTAGCTGCGAGCCGCGAGCTTGCCGCTCGTGCGCCAAGCGTGCCGCGTGAGCCCTCACCGCAGGCCCCGCGGTGGCGCACGCCGATGGTGCGCTGCATGGCGCAGGCCATGCTCTCGAGCTCGCAGGTGCTGGCGTAGGTGTGGTTGTCGGCGCCGCACACCGGCTCGTAAACGTGCGACGGGCACACGGCCTGGCACTCGCACACCGGCGCGCCGCCCTTGAGCACGCAGCGAGCGCCCGTCCCGCACCGCATGCCCTGGCACGGGCTCGCCAGCAGCGGCTCTGCGGGCGGGGGGGGGGGGGGCACGAGACGGTGGGGGCACCGCACACAGGATTGGCGGGGGTGAGCGTGCCTGGGGGGGACGCGGGCACATCTGGGGGTGCGGGGGGGGTGGCATCGCGAGGACGAGAGCAGAAGGATGTCGATGAGCACCAATGCATCGAGGCCTTGTGGCTCATTTCCCGTTTACAGCCTTGCAGAGATAGTGGTGGAAATTCCACATTCCCATGGCAGCAGCAAGTCCATCCATAGGACAACCACCGTTGACTCCCTAATAAAGTGGTGCCTATTTTATTGACCCCAAATGGATAATGATGGACGAGCCCACACGGCGGTTGTCAATACAGAATGAGAGCGTGCGTGTGAATAACGCCTGTGGCTACGCTTTGAGCCAGCACCATGCCTCTGAATCGTTTTCCGCGCCCTCCGATCCGAGGGCGGCGAACGAATACCCGTGGTGCGCTTTGCAATCTCTCAAGTCATTAATTTAAAACTCAACTATTTTTTATTTTTCCAGGTAAGGCCCCCTGCGCTGCTATGTAGCTCTTTTTCAGAAGCGATCTGGCTAGCATAAAAGATCGCTCAACGAAGTGGCTTATCACGTGGAAATTGATAGCAGCCAACTCTCATGTTCCTAAACATGGAGGGGAAAACCGGAGGGCCTGGAAAAAAATCCACGCGACCACGGGGAGAGAGACACGCGACTACTCGAAATATACAACAGGCGTCCGGGTCGCGATCGAACCCACGACGCGAGACCGCCCGCGTTGGCCGCCGCGGTACTCACTGCAGGGCCCGTCGTGTTCCACGGGGACGTCGGCCCCCTCCAGGCAGGCGGCGCGCTGCCGCTCGCATCCGTTGCCGAAGGTGCGCCCGTCGGCGGAGCACAACGGGCGGAAGGCGCCGTCGCACACAATGCGCTCGCACGAGCAGCGCGCCACCCCGCCAGAGACCGCGCAGAGAGCGCCGTGCTGGCACGGGTGTGGGCACCGCTCTGAGATGGCGGGGAAGAGGGAGGGGAGAGGTGGCGGGGGGGGGGGGGTTATCATCACCGGGCGATGCGGCCGCATCGCCCGGCGCTGTGGGGTTTTGGTGCGCGGGGTTCTGGGGGTCGTGCTCAGCGCGGCTCTGGCAGGTGGTCCCCGACCGCTGCCACTCTTCTATCAGGATAATTCCCGTCATCGTCGTCATCGCCACAACCGTCATCGCTATGATCGTCACAATCATCATCTACCTTGTCAACAGCATCATCATTATCATCGTCAACGACGCTGACAATTTTGTCACCGTAATCATGACCATCCCCATTATTATCAATCAGTCTCATCAACCTCGCCATCATCGTCGTCCACGCCAACCGTGCTGTTACATTGTCACCATTATCCATGCCGCCCGCGTCATCACCGCGTCGTTGCCGTGGCATGGGTACCGTGCTGGGCGCACTGCCCGCCGTGGAGCCTGCGCAGCCTCAGGCCGGCCCGCGCCCCCGCGCGCTCCAAGTGGCACTCGCTGGCGTAGGTGACGCCGTCGTCCCCGCACACGGCAGCCGCGTCGCCCTCGGGGCACGACTCCGGCGGCGGCAGCAGCACCGCCTCGCGGGACCGCGGTGCCACGCGGCACAGCTCGTCGGGGCCCGGCGTCACGGCCGCGCACGGGTCTACCGAGGGGGAGCGGAGAGGGTGGGTAGCATAACAAAGCTGTCTCTCTGGTGTGGACCAATCAGTTTCAAATATATTATCAGAATATGTGTTTTTTATTTGCATTTTGACCACAAGTATTGTGTTAATGCAGACATGATTCCTTGTAAAAGGTTTCAGTTTGGTGTTTTAACAACTTCACACCTGTTTTTTTGCCAGATAAAAGGGTAAAAACGTATTCTCATTAAAAATGTAATCTGCGAGGACACACGATGATCCAGACGAATTTGTGTCTTGGGTCGCATGGCCACCGTGGCTCCATTGGTAAAGGAGACGTGCGCAGTGGCGTGTTGATGTTCTGATGTGGTTGATGGTTCCACTAGTGGTGCGTGGGTGAGTGGGTGGGTGAGTTGATGGTTCCACCAGTGGTGCGTGGGTGAGTGGGTGGGTGGGTGAGTGGGTGGGTGGGTGAGTGGGTGGGTGGGTGAGTTGATGGTTCCACTAGCAGTGTCTACGAGGAGGAAAGTCGAAACTGAGAGGTGTGTGACGTGTGGATCTCCAACCAGGAGGTTATGTTGGACTTGGCAGCGCCCATCTCCGCGTGACCCACCAACCAGCCTTACGGCACTCACCGCATTCCCCGGCGAACTTGTAGCGGATGTCGGTGGCCGTCTCGCACGCGCGTTTGTTCATGTCGCACACGCTGCGGTACGTGGTGCCGTCCGTGCCGCACACGCTGGCGTTGGCAGCGCCGGCGCACGAGGAAGGGCACACGCAGCGTGGCGGCGAGCCGTCCGGCACCGACACGCAGGAGGCGCCCAGGCCGCAGGCCACGCCACTGCACGGCTCGCGTGCGCCTGCGAGAGACAGAAGATCCCCCGCGTGGCCTTCAGGATAAGCGCCGATCGTGAGCTGCGCCTACGAAGCCCGGCATGGCGCGCGAGGAGGTTGGGCGGTCAGTGCCGATGTTTTGTACATACCCCACCGGGCACTCGTCTAAGGTGGAGTCGACCTACGGGAGGCCCAAGATCGGTTCTAATATTCGTCACCATTATTGGTCGCGAGTGGGGAATCGAACTCGTGCCGTCGAGGTTCGCGGCGCGACGCGCTAACCGCCTCGCCCCACCGATCCTCGTACGCAAGCACAAAGACAAAGATCTGAGCGCCGTCCGAGCCGGGTCAGCGTGGGGTCGTGGCGACTCTGCAGGCCGGGCAGTCCCCATTGCGGTGTCTCTGTAAACACGGAGCGGGGCGCTTGACGACTCCCTCCTGGGCGACCTCGTCTAGGACGGGTGCCGCTCGCCCAGCTGTGATTGCTTCCTTCGCCCTCGGCTAAGCGACGGCCTCCGCTAACACGCACGCCCCCCCCCCTCCCCCGCCGATGGGGCCGGGGTCCGGGCCCACTCAGGGTGGCACAGCGACAGCTGGGAGGCCGCTCAAGGACAGCACGGTGATACCCGGTGCCCACCGCTGCCGCCACCGCCGCTGTGGCTGCTGGGGAATCGCGAGGAGAGGTGAGCGTGGGATGGCGGGTCGGAGGGGGGGGGAGGAGGAGGGAGTGAGGAGGTTGCCAGCTCTGACTGAAGCTATGCCCGGGAGATTTTATTGTTTTCAACATCACGAAATGTGATTAAGTGTACTGTTCGACCCGTTCGCAATATCAAGCCGTTCTTTTATTGTGTGTGGGAGTCAGGAGTGTCATTGATTAAAGTGAACTTCTTTATAAAGTATGTGCATTCATTGTAGGATTTATATTTCCTGATATCTTGCAAGGTGCACTGAGATCCCTGGATGAATTGCGCCTTAGATATGTAAATTATGACAATCATTTATTTGATTAAAGTATCCTCCTCGGCCCAGCGGCGGAGCCGTTTGCTGGAGAGGCTCGAGGGTGGAAAACTCGTGGAATAAAAAAAAAATAACCAAAAACAGACAGACGGACGGACAGACGGACGGATGGACGGACGTGACATCCCCCAACACGGACCGGCGAACGGCGACGCCACTCACCGCAGGGCCCGCGGCTGCTGACGCGGATGCGGCGCTGCTGCGTGCACTGGGCGCGCTCCAGCTCGCACTCGTTGGCGTAGGTGGCGCCGTCCGAGCCGCACACGGGCGCCACCACGGCCAGGCAGTCGGCGCGGCGGCACGCGCACACCCCGCGGGCCGGTTCCTCGGGGTCGCGCTCGCACACCGCGCCAAACCCGCACAGCACGGGGCGGCACACTGCGGCGGGTCGGGGGGGGGGTCGGAGGTCGGGGGGCAGGGGTCAGGGGGCAGTGGTCGGGGGGGAGGGATGGGAGCAGGGGTCGGGGGGGCAGGGGTCAAATGGCAAGGGTCGAGGGGCAGGCCAAAGGAGGAGACAGTGTTAGTGGACACACGATACCATGAGGTGCCCAAGTTTGACTACTCCGGGCGGCAGGGTGGAGGCGGAGCGGCGGCGACTCCTCGTGCCTCGCAGTGAGGAGGGCCCTCATTGTGCTCAGGCTCAGTTGGTACGGTCCGGGTCTTGGAGTGGTCCGGTGGGGGGGCGAATCAAATCATAGGTGGGGTGAATTGTGACAAGCCTGGTCGCATTTGTATTCCCTGGTTCTGATCACAGCACCAGGTACTTAATTATGGCTGAATCCATCTAGGGGAGGCCCCAGGCAGGGTCAGACACCACTCGCCGCTGATGCTGTCCATGACGAAGAATGGAATCCAGGTCATTGGCTTCGTAGTGCAGTGAACGATTACACTACTGCTCCCCACACACACACACAAGGCAAAGATCCCCCATACAGCCCACAGGTTGCCCCGGCAAGTGTTGTTAGCGACCACCTATTAAGGACGGCAGGGCACACGAGTGGACTGCACCACGCCGGGCCGCCTTTGCCTTCCCAGTGCTGAAATTTGCACATTGCAACAGATATACATTTTAAGGCTGAGGCGACCTAGGAGAAGACCGAAACTTGGCAGTGTCTTTTTTTGGAGGAAGGAATGGGGGTCCGAAACCGGTTCAGATATCGCTCACACCTGATGTTAACCGTGGTCGGGTCTCCACGTTTGTGGTAGCGCAGCGCATGCTCTCTCTCTCTCTCTCACCGCTCCACACACATAAACACACAGCATCAAGGACAAAGACCTCCCGCAGAGCCTGGAACGAGTGCTGTTAGCGAGCACCTACGAAGGCCGCCTTTGTCTCATTTGAGGCTGAGTCGACCTAGGGGAGGCACAGGACCGGTTCATATGATCGTCACTGCTGTTAACCGTGAGCGGTAAACACCTCCACACACACGTGATACCCCCCCCCCCCCGCATCCCCCACAACGCCGTGATCCATGCTCCAGTCAGCACCGTTCCGCAAAAAATGCGGGGTTATCTGAAAACACAGAGACAACATCCGTCATGCAGACTGTGTGCAGGGCTCACGCCAGCGACGCAAACGCACACGCCGGCGGACACGCCAACGCGCACGCTAATGGACAAGCTAACGGACACGCCAACGCACGCGCTAACAGACACGCACACGCCGGCGGACACGCCAACGCGCACGCTAATGGACACGCTAACAGACACGCACACGCCGGCGGACACGCAAGCGGGACACGTCCCGCGAAGCCGTGCGCACAGCCCCCCCGCGTCCCCCGCCCGCAGAGGAGGAGTCAAGTGGTTAATGGACTCGCGCCGCCCGCTCTGTCGAGGAGACTCACAGCTGCACTCCTCTGTTTATGTTTCTACTATTTATTATGTTTTGTGTGGCCTTGCTTAAGCACTGCTATTTACTCCTTTAGCCGCAATGTGACATCATCGTATACTTTGGATGAATTATAAATAGTATTACGTTAATAATATTAAGCGAAAGAATCAGATCTCATTTGGGCAAGCGTTGAATGGGTGGGTGCCTCTGCACTCGGCAGAGTTGGGCTCGCTTGAGCCAAGGCTGGCGAACTGCCCATATGTTGAGTGTCAAGGGCTCTCTCTGTCAGATATGGGTCTGTGTTCGAGGAAAAACTGTATTGTACGCAACACAAAAACATGATTTGCATTGATGCGGACAATATCAGTCACATTACGGATATTATTCACAAGCACGCAAATTGATATATCGTGTTGCGGCACAGTACATGGTGTAAATCAATAGAATGGCGGTTATTTTACCCAGGAAAATCCCGCCGAGTCTCAAGACACATCTTCAGGAGGGTGCTGCTACATTGGGATGTTTGGCCAGCTCTGCGGCCTGGAACTCCCTTTCCACCCCAGCCGTCCGTAAGCCGCCGACTCCCTGCCACTGTTCAAGCCCAAGGCTCAAGGCCTCTCTCCTCATCTGCTCTTTCATTAAATAAATATCCCCACTGACATGCAGCCACATCTCGCAGTATAAATACACTCACTGCGATTGTAATTCAATAGAATATTCCTCACCAGCCGCTCTCCACCACTGTGCCCCCGCTGCCCTCTGCTCTGCTCACCCTTCACGCACGCCGCCCCCTCTCTCACGACCTCCCTGCCCAGCTCCCCCCCAACTCTCACCGCACGCCCCCCCCCCCCCACACCCAAAGATAACGCCCCGAGACGCAGGATCAGAGCGAGACGCCGGGGGATCAAAGGGAGACCCGACGGCTGAAAATGAAAACAAAAACAGAGAATAATCCCGACCCCCGACCCGCGGGGGCTTCTTCATCAGCGGCGCTGCGCTAAATCAATTGCAGGTGGCGCGCGGAGACGCGGGGAGAGCCATCTGCCCAGCGTTTTCCCAACTGCCGGGGAGAGGCGGAGGCACCTCTGTCTCGCGGGGACGTTGGCCGTGACGCAAGCTGGCAAAGGGGGGCCTCCGTTTCATGGTGGCCGAGATGTGAACTACCTCACCTGGTAAACAGGAATTACATTTTTTACCTACGTGACTTTAACCGAAAAAACCTAAGAATATGAATCCTTGCAGTCACGAAAGCTTCAGATCTAGAAGGATTTCGTGGGTTCGATCCCGACCCTGACGCCTGCTGCTGTATATTTGGAGTTTGCGTGTCTCTCTCTCTCCTCGTGGTCGTGTGGATTTTTTCTCCGGGTCCCCCGGTTTTACCCTCCACATTTAGAAACACGCGTTTAGAGTATTTGGCATGAGCCACTTGGTTGAGCTATCATTTGTGAAAGGCAGGTCGCTTCTGAAAAATAGCTTAAATAGCAGCTCAGTGGGCCTGACGTGGCAAAATAAAATTTTAAAAAGTTTAGTTTTCAGTTTCGGTGGAGGATTCGGCCTTGCGGAGAGGACATCGCTCGAGAAGAGAGGCTCAGGCAGAGACACGCACGGCGCCGGCCACGTGACTGCCCCACGACGGGCGTATGGATGGGAGTCGCACCTTTCCTGCCTATCCAGAGTAGAAGCTTCGCATGTGCCAGTCTGTTAAATGTTATTCACGCAATATTTTAACTGTGTAGTGATCTACTCAGGAAATCCACACTCCCCTTTTTTCAGGAAGGCCCCACTACTTTGGGATGCTTGGCCAACACCACCGACATCGCACGTTTCAGCTCGGGGAAGAAACCAGAGAACCCCGAGGAAACCAACGCGGAACAGTGGGGGAGAGGACCTGCAGACCCCACACAGTCAGCAATCGAACCCAGGCCCTTGTTGCTGTGGGGCACAGAGGTGTTACAAAGCGTCCCCACTGGGCTACCAACAGGCACGCATGCTCCCGCCGTGACGGGGGCTTCTCACCACCTACAGCAGCACAAAGCCTTTGGAGTTGAATCTCATGTCGAGGTTCAAACTGCCGAGGCTGCTGCTGAGGCTGTTGCGGCTGAGGTTGTTGTTGCTGCTGAGGCTGTTGCGGCTGCTGCTGCTGCCGAGGTTGTTGCTGGTGAGGCTGCTGCTGAGGCTGCTGCTGCTGCTGAGGTTGTTGCTGAGGTTGTTGCTACTGAGGCTGAGGTTGTTGTTGCTGCTGAGGTTGTTGTTGCTGCTGAGGCTGTTGCTGCCGAGGTTGTTGCTGCTGTTGCTGCTGTTGCTACTGAGGCTGAGGTTGTTTCTGCTGCTGAGGCTGCTGCTGCTGCTGTCGAGGCTGCAGCTGCTGGCGTTTAAGGCGCTGGAAGCTCTGCTTGCTCATCAAGTGCGATTATATATTTTTCCAAACGTCTCTGTTTATTTATCTCGGCGGCCGCGCGGGTTAATGACCTCCACCTGCGCGGAATAAGTCACGGCCGGTGTGTTTACGCGCCGTGTCTGCTTCTTTTTTCCCTTCCCGCGAGGAGCGCGTGGAGAACAGCGCCGCCTCCGCTGCTTCAGAGTTCGTTCCCGCTTGGCGGAATGTCGACCCCTGGCTCTCGACCCCTGCGGCCCCACGCCCGCATTGCGACGGCTCAGCCCCACGCAAATCGCTCGCGCGCCCAAGTCCCGCACGCACGCTCTGCCGCACTTAGCTCACCGATTAGGTCATTTGCGGGCGGACCGCGCGGTTGTGGTTGCTGGTGGTGGGGTAAAGTGCGGGTATCGCCGCGAACAAATGCTCCGAGGCCGCGTGAGTGGTGGGTGCGGGTGTGCGGGGACGAGGCCGCGGTGTTCCCCCGCAGAATGTGCGATGTGCCGTTGCTCTGTGGTGGAAATTTCTACATTGCGATTCCAGGGCCGAGCATGACAATGGAACGATGCCTGTTGACTTGGGAGTGATCAGTGGGTGTCTGACTGGAAGCGTCAGAACGACTTTTGGGCTGTGGTACGCACACCCCCCCCCTCCCCGTAGAGTCTCAACAGGCTGTTGGGTCAAATGCTGTTAGCGAGTAGCACCTATGAAGGCCGGCATAGCGCACGAGGGGGTGGGCGGCCAGCACCCCGCCCGGCCGCTTTTGTCTCCCCAGTGCTGATATTTACACACCGCACCAGGTACCCATTTAAGGCTGAGTCGGCCTCGGGCAGGTCCAGGATGAGTTCAAGTATAAACACACACAGAGAATACACACAGGCACATACAATACGCAGTGAATACACACACACACGAGCACGGTTGGCTACGAAAGGTGCGAAAGAAGTTCAATATACGTACACACACGGAGAACACATAGATATCCGCTACATCTAAAACAAGGTCAGTTCTGTGGTTAATTCAGCTATGCTGGGAAGTCAATCCAGACCTGCTAAGAAACTACGGCTGGCGGAGGAGGTGCTACAGCTTGCTGACAGGATGCAGGAGGCCCACTCCCACCGTCTCCAGCATCTCACTCCCGAGAATGAGGAGGCTTACCGCAGCCCATGTCCACAAGTTCGGAGCGTCCTTGGGGCGCCGTAAGGATGCACGCTGGCGGTCGCGGGTCGACCACCAGCGCAACTCCCACTAATGTGATCATGCCGGGGAAGAACAGCGATCCGATATCCGACGCCCACCCACAAGTCTGTAGATTTGCGGAGCAATTTTGTAAGGTCCCGGTGGAGGGGGAAACCCTCGGTCCAAACAACATCATCCGGGGGCAATGGGGAGTGCGATACTGCGACAGTTGTGGAGCCTCATAGATTGAGGGAAGTAGCCCAACCTCTGTGAGGTCAAGTTTATTTTGTTTAACCGGATGAGAACTACAGAGAATTTTCGTAACCGACCGGGGCATTAGTCCGTCCGGTGATGGTTGTCCCCTCTGCCGAGGAAGTGTGAAGAGTGATCCGGAGCATGAGAGCCGGTAAATCACGAGGCAGAGATGACCCCCAGAGCAAGTCAGTAGATAAGGGAGGCGACAGTGTGCAGGCTGCCTTGCGTGCCGTTATCGTACCTGTTTGTACCACAACACGATTGTAACAAGGACTGGGAAATATCCCTCCTCAGCGTGAGGGCAGAAAGGTCCTGGCACGGATTATCCAACATCGCCATGCCAGGCAGCACACGGAGAAGCTTGAGGAGCCCCGATGTGGTTTCAGGCCAGGGCGGTGCTGTACGAATGCCGTAATCTCTGTCCATCTCCTACAGCGGAGCTGCGGGCAATTCCAACTGGGCCGACATCTCCAACTAGCACGGTTGGCCACGGACGGTGCGAAAGAAGTTCAACCTCCAGACATACAAATGCACAGTTACACACAAAGACACGCGTACCGATGCACACATCGTCCCTTTTCCTCGGCTCGCGCAACTATTGTAACTATAACGGTGATGATTGTTGCTGGCCGCTTCACGTCTAAGGGAGATGTGGGTTGAGTGTAAACAAACACAGACACAAAGACAAAGGTCGCCCATATAGCCTGAAACAAATTGATGGGGCAAGTGCTGTTAGCGAGCACCTACGGAGGCCGGCATGGCACCCTAAGGGGTGGGTGGCCAGCACCACGCCCGGCCGCCTTTGTCTCCCCAGTGGCGATGCTTACACACCGCACTTGGTACTCACTTGAGGCTGATTCGACCTAGGAAAGGCCCAAGACCGGTTCAGATAATCGCCACTGGTGTTGGCCATGAGCGGGAATCGAACCTCTCTCACGGGCTTTGTAGTGGGGTGTGCTAACCACTGGGGCACCGCTCCCCAACGTGCACAGGAGCGCACGGCGCAGACGCACGGAGAGGGCTGGTCGCCAGCTCTCGGCGTGGAAGGCAAATGAAAGGGGCCTCGTTTGAAGTGCAGCCACAGGGAACAAAGTGTTTCTCTAATGCGAGTCGCATGGCGCACACACCTGCGGTGCCAGCGCGCCCACGTGCGCCCGCTACCTCAGAGGCAGGGGGCGTGGGGGCGGGGAGGCGGTACGAGCCAGACCGTCGTCCCGCACCTTGCCCTCTGACCCAAAGCGCACTCTGACCGCGGACGACGCTGCCAGCGAGCGCTCTCTCGACCTATCTTCGTCTCTCCCCCCTAGGTCGACTCGGCCTTAAGTGGGAACTTTGTTCGGCATGCGAACATCGGCCGGGGCGTGCGCTCCGGCCACAACGCCTCCCTTGTGTGCCACGCCGGCCTTAATAGGCGCTCCCCAACAGCGCTCGCCCCCATCGTTCTATTCTGGCCGGATGCGCCGGCGTCCCAGCAATCCGGCCTCAATTCCTGGCCACGCCACGTCAGAGTCAATTAGTGCCCGAGCCTCCCCTAGGTCGGCTCAGTGGAAATGTTTGGCTTTACGCAACGAGGCACGGTGAATGTGGAACCCGAGCGCCATCCTCGGTGATCGCGCCCTTCAAACAAATCGCTCGGTTGTTGGCCCTGAGCCAGCGGTGGAAATTCCACATTCCTATGGCAAGGTCGAGATGACGAACCAACAGCTGTGGACTTGGTGCCTATGAGGTGGCACTCCGTTAACCGACCCTCAGTGACGATGCCCACGACGAGTGTCAATTCTCGTGCGTCGCACTCAGGCCCCGCCGGCGAATGTGGGGGGGGGGGGTTCTCCTGAAAGAGTCCCGGGAGACTCGGCAAGGCTCTGGCGAATGGCGGACAACTTCAGCGTGCGATTACATCGTCCGGCCCGCGAGCTGGAGTCGAACTCGCAACCCCTGCGCTCGCGAGCCGGGTGCAGCCGCTCGCAGCTGCGCTTTACAAAAAAAAAGTGCACGCGTGAAAACAAATTTCTGAAAAATACCGAAGATGAGCAAAGATGAAAAGAAGCCATCCTGCAAGAACCAAAACATTCCTCTACCCAGCGCCCCCCCCCCCGCATCCCGCCCCCCCCTCCCTGCAACCCCCAGGGCAGCACTGCCCTCTGTTCCTGAGCCAGAGACATAGGAGAGGGGATTAAGATCACGTGACCATGCCCATCCCCCTCCACAACTCCACACACTCCCCCCCCCTCCGCCCCCCGAACCCCCCTCGACAAAATAAAAACCCCCCACAGAATGGGATTTACGACGGAAAACATTGCGAAGCGTCTAGCAGTGGTGGTGCGGTGGGGGTGAGGGTCTGGTTGAGATAAGGGGCTGGGGATAAGATATGGAACTCGCGCGGGGGGGGGGGGGTCAGGTTAGAGTTGAGATTTAGAGTTCGAGCTGGGGTTAGGGTTAAGGGGGGGGGGGTTAGGGTTAGAGTTGAGGTTAAGGTTAGAGATAGAGCTGGGGTTAGGGTTAGAGTTGAGGTTAAGGTTAGGGATAGAGTTGGGGTTAGGCTTCGAGCTGGGGTTGGGTAGGGTTAGAGTTGGGGTTTGGTGTAGAGTTGAGTTTAGGACTGAGTTTAGAACTGGAGCTGAGGTTCGAGACGGGGTTCAGGTGAAGGCTGATGCTGCTGCCTTCCTGCACCATACCGATGTCTGCCCCTCGGGCAACAGAAACTAAACCCTGGTGCTCTTGTTCCTGACAACCACGGAGATCTTCCTGTAGAGTCGCTCAAGCAGCAGCAGCAGCAGCAGCAGAGAGCGAGCAAGCGTGCTCCCGCCTGTAGCTGGCTCAAGGCTTCAGGGTGGAGCAGACTGCTACCCACGGTGGGTGGGAGCTGCAGGATAGAGTTGGCGGGGCACGGTAGGGTGGAGGGTCAGTGGTGGAGTGAGGGGGGCGGGTGAGGGTTTTCAACGGGGCAGTTGGATGAGCAAACCGTGAGTGATTGAGTGAGTGGTGCTGACTCTGAGTCACGATCTGGGTACAGATCGTCTCATACCAGAGATGACTTTTCGCGACAAAATCCAAAACACATTTCCTCTGTTGACCGCTGTCGCCCCCCCCCACCCACACCTCCGCCCCCCCCCCCAACTGAACTTTTTCACTCCATCACCCCCCCCCCCCCCGGCACACACGTGCGGCAATGATATTAGGGACGCTCGATTACACGAGCGATGAGACGCGAGTGATCAGCCCCCGGGGGCCTCGCCCCGCGGGCAAAATAACAGGAAGCTAATCCCGAGAGGTGGACACGGAGACCCCAGTGCCGGCCCACAGATTGCAAACTCGACTCTCAATTTCGTACGGAATTCGAAAAGCAACTGGCAAAACATTCGAGCCGTGCGTTGACTGCAGCCGTACCCCTAACTCTAACAACCACGGCCAAGCAGTCACTCGCCCTACGTGAGTGAGTTGGTTGGTGAGTGGGTTGATGAATGAGTGGCTGAGTGATTTAATAATCGATTGGGTGAGTGAATGCGTTGCTTGTTGGGTTGATTGTTGAGTGGGTGGCTCTCTGTGTGCGAGCGCGCGTAACTGTGTGACGGCCTCGCCAGGTGAGTGTAGGTAAGTGTGGTGGGTGAGTGTGGGTGAGTGAGTGTGGGTGAGTGAGTGTGGGTGAGTGAGTGAGTGAGGGTGAGTGGAGCTCACCTTCCACGACGCTGGGAGGGGTTTGAGGCAGATCCTTTACGGGTTTATCTGCAACAACAACAACAGCAGCAGCAGCAGCGGTCAGTGAGCATCGCAGGTACGGCAGGGCACACGGGTCGAGCGTTCTTTCATTGAAATCCTTCACCTGGGCAATCGCCTCTCGAGATGGGACCTCTCGTGTGAGATGGGACGTCTCGTGCGAGATGGGACGTCTCAATCTAGATTTGAGGTTTTCGTGACTGCAGGGATCCATACTCATTGGTTTTTTCGGTAAAGTCACGTAGGTAGAAAATAAAATAAATTAAATCACGACGTTTCGATTGCAACACAAGCAATCGTCATCAGGTGGGAAAACCACAGCAAGAAAATGTTCTCCCACTTCAGCAAAACATTTTCTTGCTGTGGTTTTCCCACCTGATGACGATTGCTTGTGTTGCAATCGAAACGTCGTGATTTAATTTATTTCATTTTCTACCTACGTGACTTTACCGAAAGAACCAAAGAGTATGGGACGTCTTGTTTGCAAGGGTGTCCCGGTGTCGTACACAGCAAACCCATAATGACACGTGTGTATGTTCACACTCTCATACAAATATATGAAAGATCCCTCGTTTTGTCTCAACAGACAATTGGGGCAAGTGCTGTTCGCGAGCGCCTATGAATAAGGCCAACCCGGCACACGAGGGGTGGGTGGCCAACCCCACGCCAGGCCGCCTTTGCCTGCCCAGTGCTGGTGTTTTCTCACTGCGCAAGGTAGTCATTTGAGGCTGAGTCGACTTTAGGGAAACCCAGGACAGGTTCACACATTCGCCACTGGTATTATGTGGCGTACACTCCTGGTTCGTGTAGAATGTTCTCCATCTCTAACGGCTGCAGCGTGTGTTGTGTGCGAGTGAGTTTTAAACGCAGTGCAGATGTCAATAAGCCAAAACTAACATGGCACATTACAGCGCGGCCAGCGAGCGGTGGGTGGGTGAGCGGCAGGAGACACGGGGCGTGCGTGGGGGATGAGTGGAGTGGGTGAGTGGGTGAGCAGTGGAGTGGGTGAGTGGGTGAGGAGTGGAGTGGGTGAGTGGGCGAGTGGGTGAGTGGGTGAGCAGTGGAGTGAGCGAGTGGGTGAGTGGGTGAGTGGGTGCATGGGTGAGCAGTGGAGTGGGTGAGTGGGTGAGCAGTGGAGTGGGTGAGTGGGTGAGCAGTGGAGTGGGTGAGTGGGTGCGTGGGTGAGTGGGTGAGCAGTGGAGTGGGTGAGTGGGTGAGCAGTGGAGTGGGTGAGTGGTGAGCAGTGGAGTGGGTGAGTGGGTGAGTGGGTGAGCAGTGTATTGGGTGAGTGCGTGCGTGGGTGAGTGACATGGTGGCCCGTGAGTGAGTGAGGTTTCGGTGATTTCAATTTTTCGGAAAAAGCGAGTTTTCAAACACGAATGTTCAAATCAATCGGGTGGTCGGGTGGCCTCAGAGCGCCGAGTCGGTACCAGAACATGCCAAGCTGTGTAAACAGGGTACTGCCTCAATATGTAAATATCTATTCAGCGCGGTGTATCTGGAAATATCAAAAACATACCAATTTTCGTGATGTTAAGGCGGGGGGTGGGGGGGGGTGCCATTGCCCCCTGCTTGGACCCACCCCTGATGAGTCAACACCCCACCAGCTCCCTGATGTGCTGAATGATGGTGAACAAACAATGCAGCACCGGCTAAGGGGTAAGAAGTACGGAATGACGCAGCCACGGCGGCGGTCGTGTCACCGGGTTCAGAGGAAGTGGCCGCATCCCGACCCCCCCGGGTTTCAGATCGAACCCCCGGTCGGGCGTTGCTGACCGCCACAGTGAGACGCGGGGCATTTAATGGCATCGCCGCTACGAGTGCGCAGATATCAGATCGTGTCCGTGCAACAAATTCGAGAGCGGGAACACAAACAGGAAGCATTTACAGAGCTCACGTGCGACGGGAGTAACGCGTGTGCGCGTTTTCCTTGACTCGTTGGAAAGGAACGCCGTGCGTCTTGCTCGTAAACACACAGCAAACACGCGCGATCCACGCACAACACGCGCACCCCACACACACCACGCACAACACACACAACACGCCCTCCACACACACCACGCGCGCTCCACGCACAACACGCGCACCCCACGCACACCACGCACAACACGCACAACACGCACAACACGCGCGCTCCACGCACACCACGCACAACATGCACACCACGCACACCACGCACACCACGCACAACACGCACAACACGCACACCACGCGCACCACGCGCACCACGCGCACAACACGCACGCTCCACGCACACCACGCACATCACGCACACCACGCACACCACGCGCACCACACGCACAACACGCACGCTCCACGCACGCAACACGCGCTCCACGCACACCACGCGCGCGCTTGCGCACGTCCTGGAACAAGACAACGCCCCGTGAGGGATGAGCCAAAACACTCACGAGCAAGAGCCACCTGAGGAGGAGCCTTGAGACTCTCAGCGAGGCTCGCAGGGTAAACAACGAATACCCATTACTGATTCGCGTTGGCATACAAGAGGTCGTGGGTTCAGTCCCGACCCTGGCACTTGCTGTATAGTTGGAGATGCGGTGTCTCTCTCGCCGTGGTCACGTGGACTTTTCTCCAGGTCCTCCGTTGTTCTTCCCCTCCACATTTAGAAACATAGGTTTAGAGTATTTGGCTTCTATAAATTTTCACATGATGGTAAGCCACTAAGTTGAGCTATCATTTGTGGCCAAATGATAGCTCAGTGGACCTCACCTGGTGAAATGAAAATAGTTTAATTGAGCTTCAGATTCACAGAATGTCTAAATCAGGAAATATTTCTATGTATGTGTGTGTCCGTGTGCCTGTGTGTGCGTCTGATTACGCGTTTATCTTTACGTCTGTGTGTCTGTACATCTGTCTTCGTCCTTCCTTTTTGCTTATCTGTCCATCTGCCCGTGTGGATGCCTGTCCCATGAATCAGCGACTGGCACAGCGAGCGAGAGAGAGAGAGCGGAGACGCCACGGTCACCGTGCCCTGGGCCTTGGACGCGGTGACCCACCGGAGCGGGTCACGGGGTTCGTTCGGCAACGAGCCGCGACGTGGGACATTTTGCTCCTCCGTCAAACCGCTCCTCTTCTCCAGAGTCTCACTTCCTCCCGGCCTGCATGCCCGAGGCGCCACGCGAACCTTGAACCCGCGCCAAGCACCGCTTTCATTTGCCAGATCCCAATGCCATGCCTCGCCGAGTCATGGCGTGGTGGGTGGTGGTCGTGGTGGTGGTGGAGGTGGTGGTGAGGGGCGAGTCGGGATGAGGCTGGAGGGGAGGGCAGTGCGATGGGAAGTGCGGCACGGAGACAGACGGAGCCTGGGAGGAGATGGACGGGCGAGGTACCTCAAGCTACGGGGATGACGCCCACGCAACGATCCGCTTGCCGCTGTAACCAAGTTGCAACTCACGCTGGCCTACAGGCGCAGCAGGCTTTCGTCTAAGAAATGAAACGGACCCCCCCCCCCCCCAAGCCTCCCGCCCTGTCCAAATTACCCCACCCCCATCCCCAACACTCTTTGTAGCGCGGTGCCTGGGCTCCTCCGGCCCATGGGCCCCCGGTGCAGTTGCACCGCCTGCGCGCTCGATCGTCTTAATGATGCGGCGGTCGTGGCCGGGCTGGCAGGGTGGCTAGGCCTGGAGCCGCCCGTGGCGTGGCTGCCGCTGGGCACGAGGTTGCGACCCTGCAGCGCCAACGCGGCGGACGAGGCGATGAGTTCCTGGCCCGGGGTGAGGGCCGCTACCACCTCCTGGCGGGGGGGGGGGGGGAGCCAATGCTGGCCGATCGTGGCTAATGGAATATGATGGCTGGGAGGTAAATGGCACGCGAGCCCATTAATTGGCAAAATAAGATGCTTCGCAGCTGCGCTTTGGCCTACATTGTTGAGGCGGGGGGAGGGGGGCAGGGGGAGATGCGCGCCACTACGTAAATGGTTGTGATTGTGTCGCTTTTGTTTATCGTTCGTGCAACTTCACGGCAAATTTAACCGCGTTACAGCCACGTCGTAGATATGGCACGAAGCTACGAATACGGCTCCTAACAACAGCAATTACCGATTGCAATCGCGTTCCAACCAGCGGCCACTGAAGCCAAACTCGCGTTACCGTCTCACAAACCCCACTCCCAACCCGACAACAACAAGCCCCCACACCTTGCCCCAGCACGGGCGACCTGCCAGGAACCCGCCTAGCGAGCTACCGCTCGCATCAAGGATGACAGTCGCAAGGAACGAGCTCGCGTATCCGGTATCGTTGATACCGGTATCGGCCAGACTCGCCGTTGAAACGTGGAACATTCATTGGCCGTAAGTTTCCACGGCGGTTCCATGCGGCCGAGCAGGCCCCATGGACCCTCCAAATCCACGCAAGAATAACCAAACTCCTAATACCCAAACTCCTAATACCAAAACTCCTAATACCCAAACTCCCAATACCCAAACTCCTATTACCCAAACACCTAATACCCAATCTCCTAATACCCAAACTCCAAATACCAAAACTCCTAATACCCAAACTCCTAATACCCAAAATCCAAATACCAAAAATCCAAATAGACAGCAGCAGGCATCAGGGTGGGGATCAATCCCACGACCTCCTGTAGACCAGGCGAGGAAGTTAACATCTCGCCTGAGCCTGGCCAGCGTGCTCGGATGGGTGATCCACCGCCTTGTCACGTGGCAACGTGGTGGACAGCAGAGGGGCAGTGCAGTAACATCAATTGTTAGACCATACTTCTGTGCTCCGCACTTGCTCCCCTTAAACAACAAAAAATTATTTTGGTACCATAGATCACAGCAGGCTTCCGTTTTGGGGTGGGGTGGTTCTTCCACCGAGTTATGAAGCCAGCGACCTGGGTTTGATTCGCAGCGACGGCTACCAATGGCAAGTGATATCTTATCTGCTCATGGACCTCCGTCCCCACCAAAACTTCACTGACCAGTGCGATTTACAGTAAGAAGAGTCATGGACAGGCCCTAATCCAGCAATAAAGTGACATACGTGGCG